CCAGTGCTGGAGACTGACGATGGAAATTTGCTACACAGTCCAAACAGCATTTGCAGGTATTCATGCCTCATACGGTCTTCATGTATTGAACAATTTATCCTTTATATTACATGAAACGTCTTCCCTTGGTTAAAATATTCGATTTTAGGAAGGGTAAGAAGAAATGATCAAAAACTGCTTAAGATGATTCACACGTTTTGGGTTCATCAAGGATGTTGAGCTCATACATTTCAAACTTAAGAACTAAAAGCTAAGACACTTTGATTTTGTTTCGTGGTTGGTTTCCTCAAGGTAATTTTCAGTTAGATTACCTAGCCCCAAAGAAGTTCAGTATTCAACACTGAATTCCGTACAAGCACGACTGCATGACATATCGGGTTGGCTGACATTTACAAGTCGTGCAAGTTTTGTTGTTAACTCTCACACATTTGAGTCAACCACCTCTGTTAACTGAGGGAACCCCAGGGCCATTTCCAGTTAACGTAATTTGTGCAGTAAACCAAAAAAAATTCCGAACATAGGATTCTGGCGCTATGCTTAATCTGTGGGAGGCAGGGTACTTCAAGGTTATAATCTGATCTAATCTACGGACCAACCTAAAAAAGATTAACCTGAGATTTATGACATTGGTTATAAAGTTGATTTCACAGGTGGATCCAGTTCAATAATAGCAAGTTAAGGGTAAGAGTAATACCTATTGTTAATGTAAATGAATGTAAATGAATGTAAATGAACATCATTGTTCGACTCCGATACTGATCACTAACCCTGTTTATATAGGTACCTCCTTGACCTCAACAGAAGCTCAGATGTAGCTTCCGACCCTTATGGGAAAGCAATTGTTGATCAGTGGGTGGAGTGGGAGAGCACGTCTTTGCAGGTAAGTTGTTGCATAGAGTGAACATATATGAAAGAAAAGGTGGTCAAGAGTATTGTATGCCGTTCTGTGAATCCAGTGGCTAAGCTCCGGTCCCTGAGCAGGGTCATAGTGCTCTGTTCCCGGGAAAAGATTTAAGTTTTCCTACTCTTTATGTTCGCCAAGGAACATTAAAAGGTACCTTAAGTGATACGCCGGGAAAGATACCCGTGATGCGAGTCAGACCCCACCCTGAAAGAGTACCTATGGTTATAATCATCTAAACATCTGTCAGATTTTTGCTGACTCATTTACCATTTTATCTGGCAGCCTGTTATCTTCAATTATCTTGTAAAGTCCATTGGCCAGGGAAGGGATTGCAGTGGCCATGTCGACGATCTGGTAAATCTCCTAAGACATGCAGATGAAGCTCTTGCTTCCAAGAAGTACTTTTCTGGGGTATGAATTTCATAAAACTTTTTTTTACACCTTTGGTTACTTCTTTCGTAACTCATTGATCACACCCCTTAGCACAGTTTCCTTCTTTTGGACTTTAACTTAAAAATCACAACTACGTGGAGTTATACACTTTTAATTGAAATGAGTGCTCCTACTAAACAAATCGCCATTCCTTGACTTTCCAGAGTCACCTGGGGCTAGCTGATGTCATCCTTTGGGGTTCTCTGCACCCTCTCTTCATGGAGGGCACAAAATATTCAGGTATTGGTGAACATCTGCTTTCTTTGTGTCTTCAGAGCTTGCTCCAGCCATATGGTCTGGATTAGCTTAGCCATGAAATTGATTTAGTTTTCTGAGACTTGTCACGAAGGGTTAAAATAAAACAGAGTATCTACTACGAATGCAGAATTCCCAGCTATGTTTGCTCTGTGATTTTGTGTGCCAGTAGAATGGAAAATCGTGAAATTATGGTTTGTAAAAATTTTCTCTCTTGATCAAACAGATCCAGGCATCTCAAACTTAAAAAGGTGGCACAACCTCCTCATGTCTCAGGAGCTTTTCCTCAAAACTGAATTTGAGGTTGCAGGAGGAAAAGAAGTTTCTTCCTTTAAGGTATGCACACGAATAAATCTAGCTATCCATTTTTGATACATCTTATATATTATACAGAAATGAGATTTATATCTCTCTGCGGTTTTTGAGTATACTCATTTGAAACACTTATAGATGGCATGTATTCAGATCACTTTTTTATTACAACTTATAGATGGCGATATGCAGAATACAAGTCCTAATGAAAGAGTACTGTTCCTTATATACTTTCGCAACTATTTGATACTGATCGGGGTTCTTTTTTGTTGCAGGATGCTTTGTTGGCAATGCTTGACGCTCAAGAGCAGTTAGCAAAAAGTAAACATAGATGTGAAATATTTATTGACTTAGAGAAATTAGAAATTAATTGAAGCGATAACATCAAAATCTGGCAGTAAAATATCAGAGGATATACTTTCATATTGCATGGAAAGTTGTTAATTCATATAGATTTCAGCAAATGTAAGTGGGATCATTCCTTGTCACTTCAATTCGGGTCCAAATTCACCACATCGTAAACTGCATGTGGTGAATATATCATCACATTCGTCACGAGCTACATAACCCTTTAGCCCCTAAGAGTGACTAGCATCTAATTTCTCCTTACCATATCACCCCTGAATCAAACAAGGAAGTCATAAGAATAGAGGAGATGATCATCAACTAAAGCAGCTCTTGATTGTTAAACAAATTCTCCTTGTCAGCCTCTTTGAAAATGTACGGAGAACAGTATGGAGAATATTCATACTGATGTTAGGGTGTGAAGGGGTTACAACAATTCTACCGATTAGTAAAATCAATTATTTTTCATGCTGATAGTATTTGCTTAAACTGTAATACTGAACGTGATATGTATGCAAATTGTTGTAAATAATGATAGAAGTAACAATGATGTAATAGTCAATAATGATTCTGATGCTAATAATAAAAAGTAAAGATAATAGTGAAATTTTCTGCTAAAATAGGTTCCCCATCATCCCAACGAGATCAAGAGGGTGATTCTGCCACAGAGGAGGTGAGCTAGGGTACTAGATCTTAAACATAGATTAATCTATCATATTTTCATACTTTGCTATAGTAAGTTCTGAAATTTTAATTTTAGGCAAAAATTGCAGAGGCATTTTTTTGCTTCTGAAACCAAAAGAAGTATTCTTTAGTTAAAACAAACCAAGTTTTTTTTGTCTCTCCCTTGAATTAACGAGCAGATGTCCATTTGAATGGCATCCATTTAAGAAATAGATAAATGAATAGAGAGTAGAATATCAGCTTTTTTAAACTTTATGGGCCACATGAAGTAAAAGCTGAACATATTCTTCTACCTAAATTTGATGAATGTCTGTTTATATTTTTGTTGGTGTTTCAAGTTTTTTTTAAAAGTAAAAAATCTTTTCCATTTTTAGGATCGTCCGTAACCATATGAAGATATTTATAACACCCGAAGACATGTTAGTGATCGATAAATTCTTCCTTTTTTTCAGCGCCTTGATGTTTGTCCAGAACAACTTTGATGGTTCTATACCAGCCATGGAATTGACAGACGATGACAAGAAGTTCATCGCACTTATCAACAAAGAGTTGAAGACGTATATCGATAATCTTGAGAAAATTAGGTAATCTATTTAGCTCTGAAGAAATTTACTGAAGATGAATTTTTCAATAAGCGGTTCACTGTTTGAAAGCGTCCCTCTTAAGGTAACATATGTATTGCAGTAATTAACGTAGTACATAGTTATTGCCACATTTGAGTTAATCTTTCCCTTAGCTTTTTAACCCGGCTGCAGCGTATTATCTTCTCAATTTTTGAAGTCTGTTGCAACAAGCGGTTCCTTGGTCGTTTAAACATATTTCAAATATTGACACTATCCTGGGATGAAAATGTCTCCGTGAGAATAAACAATCTCTTGTCTTACAATGTCGCGATTATATTTCAGGCTTCGAGAAGGCTTAAAAGACGTGCTGAACATATCCAAGCTTGGTAATCAGTACATACAGTCCAACCAACCTTGGGTTCTCGTCAAGGGCAACGAATCAGAAAGGTACACATGCTCAATATTAAATAACAAAGAATTCGCCTAAAACCAATGGTAAGGAAAAGTTTCTTTTTAGTCTCGCACCAGATTTAGGGCCTGGTACGTCGAAATCCTTTGAGCTTTAATCATAGATCAACTTTTGGTATATTTTAAAGCAAACGATTACTCGATACCTTTGTCCCCTAAACGAATAGGTGTTCAGTCAGGTTTACGTTTCTTAGCTTTAACACGCTTAGTTGACCAGAAACAGGAAACCTTACAAATAACGGATAAGGTTTTGAGTAACTCTAAGTATTTCTCCTAACAAACGGGTTCTGACTGGGTTCAAACCGTTTTTTCGTGCCCATGAGTAAAAAGGTTAACCTGTCATAATGATTTAAATAATCTCACAGGAAATTGTTTGTGCCTTTAATAACGCAAGTCGTTGATCTCTTTTTATCATTTAGATCACGTGCAGGTACAGTCATAGGGATCACAGCCAACCTTTCCTGGCTGCTGTCTGTTCTCGTTCATCCCTTCATGCCCGGGGTCAGTGAAGAGATTCAACGCCAGTTACAGGTAGGTCTTACAAACTCTTTCGGGTTGCCAATTTACGTTATCAACTCAGTTGATATTACTAAATTACCCTTTTATCGCTCTGACGAATAGCTAACGCTCGAAACGTCAGCTTTGAAACTCTTTACGATGACCAAATTTACATTATCAACTCAGTTGATAATACTGAATCATCCTGTTATTCTCTCCCACCGACGCACCACGGTCTCTTTAGAACACTTACCTCCTTTACAGGAAGGTCTGTTCGGCACGCGATACAATTTGGAATTTATCACGATTGTGTTGACTTTAAAAAACCGATTGAAATATAAATCTAATAAAAAGGGCTCGACATGTTGGTTATTGCTCCGCTTAAAGTTAAACTGTCCGGCTTAATCTGTTGTATTCTTTGAATGTTTCTGCATTATCAATAATGATATAGCTGAGAAAATGCGTAGCCATCATATAATCATATGATCTTCCAAACCATTAAGTTCCAAGATGAATCTCTCTAGGAAACGGCATTCGGTCAGATTTGAAAAAAGATTTAACTTATGTAGAGACACTTTCTCTCTACTTATTGCCTTTGGCGGGAGAAACTTGTAGGATCGGCTATTTCTTATATTTTTCATTGTTTTTATTCAAAGTGAGGTTGGTAGAGTTTCTCAACAAAGTCACGGAGTCAATCAGACCGGAAATTACACATTAAGCCTTAGAACGCATCTTATTGCAGGGCTAAAGTAGCAGCTCCAAATCCTCGCTCGCAGCCTTAAAGCGTCCTGGTACCCCTGTTATGAAAAGCTCATTAAAAAGGACAAGTGTGGGTGGTTAAAGAGTTTTGTAAGAATTGTTTGCCTTTCTTTTAATTGAAAAGACTTCAAACACAAGTCTTCCTTTGTTTGATAGGTCACCGACGAAGGCAATGTGGTGTTGGACAACTTTATTCCTTATCTGGAGACTGGTCACAAGATTGGAACGGTAAGAGCGAGTAAATAAGAGAGATAAGAGGAGATGCAAAAGAAAATACTTCCTTGCAAGGTTGTATCTGCCGCTACCTTTCACTTGAAGGGCCTGATAACAACAGACCGACGGGACTTTTCAGATAGCAGAGGAAATAAGTGTTCATTATCTTGACCCTTTAACTCCCATGAGTGACCAAGACAGAATTTCTCCTTACAATATCAATACAATATCAAGCAGACATGTGATGAGAATAAAGAAAAATATCAATTTGGGTATAATTAGTTGATCCAATACTACATTCTCTGAACTAACACTATAAGAACTGTATGGTTGACAGTAAGGAGAATTACAAATTTGGTCTGAGAGTTTAAGGGTTAAAAACTTGTTAACAAGCGAGAAGTAGAGACAAGGCTGAACTTACAGGCCAAGCTGCGGACCGAAAGAGAGCAGCTCTTTCCATGCATACCCTTGTTTAGTTTCCTCTTCATCACCGTTATCATTGTCATCGTATCGCTAAATGTATCATCACCATAACTCACTATTACTATGATCAGTGTTGATGTCATTTGTATGCAACTCATCAATACTCTTTACACTTTCACGTAATTTTCGACCAATCAAAAGGAAATCCTTTAATCCAATAGAAAGACTGGTAATTGAACGTTCTATAAATTAGTTATTGGCTTGTGGGTCGAGGACCATAACTACGAGAACTTTAACCTAAAATATCTTCATCCATTTAGGCTTTCTACTTTTAAAAAGTAACACCGTTGCTGCAACATTTACTAAGAAAAGACTTGTAAGTTAATTTTGTCTATTCTTTTAGCCCAAACCACTCTTCCACAAGATCGATGCCTCCGTCGCGGATCAGTTCCGCGCAAAATACGGTGGGAACAAACAGAAGCAACCAGCTTCACACAACAAACCAAAAGACGCTACTAAGGGAAAAGAGGAGGGGAAAAAGTAGACACCCGCTAACCGCCGAGTGGATTGTTCGTGCCTTGGATGCACGCATCTCCCAAGCTTTCCCAGTTTCTGGTTTGAATGAATTACGAAAACTTTTTTGCTATTTTACATTGCAAAATAAATAGAAGTAAGCACAGAATTTAACAGAACCTAAACTTAGCAGAAATCAGAGTAATATACTGTCTAGTATAAAGCATTTTCGAGCAACATTTTTTCTTCGTTTGTGATTTCAAATATATTTTCCATTTTACTTTTAGTCTTTTAAATGTTATCGTGAAATTGTTTAGCTTCTCATTTGAAGAAGAAGAGTTAAAAAGGTAGCCTAGCCAAAGCATTCAATGGTACCACTGACCCAATACTGCTCAGTATTTCAAAAGCTCGGATATGATAAAGGGTTCTCACTTAATCTCTTATCAACGTCAGATTACCAGGCGTCTAATGTCCAATCAGTATCAATGAACTCAATTTTGTCAACCTGCCATCTTATTGCTAACATATTGCGAAATCAGTTTGTTTCTTGAATTAAGCAGTAAACTTGGTAGCTCAAGTGCATATGAATGGAATAATTACCTTAAGAGCTGATTAAAACAAAATTTAAAAATTTGAATGCTGTGATCTTTTGTAACCTTAAACCTAAAACATTCGAGTTTTAATCAGCAAAAGTTTGAGACAAACTATTTGAAAGTCATTCACAGCAGCATACGCACGCCAATCTAGGACTATAGAGTGACTCAAGTCATCCGCCCTCAGCAAAACGTGGTATTTTCACAAACACACTTGGCCCCGGTTGCTCAAAGGGTGGCTAACACTAACCACTAGATAAATCTGTATCCAGTGTACAGCGCAGTACGTTTTGTTAGCGCTTATCCGCTGGATAGCGATTTATCCGTTGGTTAGCGTTATCCGCCCTGATGAAGGCCCACGGCCCAGTACCGAGTATAAACCTTGGGATAAGCATCTCAAGTGACCAAACCGTACTACAAACGATAAAACCTTAGCCATTGTCATTTCACAGAATGAAATTACACCCAAATTCGAATTTACATGCTATATCCTATAAAACTTTAAGAAAAGACTTTTAGTGGAACAACCTGACTCCCACTTTTCCTCTCTCCTATGTATTCGGCTAAGCGCTTAATACACAGTCTACTGTTGTAAAGTAAATTATACTATCAGTCAAAATCAGCCTCACTAATACATCGGCTGGTTGCCTTCCAACGATCCATACACCACCACAGTTGAAATCTGTAGCCTCACGACTACCGTTTGTCTCCAACGATGACATTTTTTGTTCCTGTTTTTGACAACTTCAGCTCTTCGTTCGCGGAATTCCATTTCCGCATTATCGTCGCGTTCGTTGTCATCTTGACAGAGTGAAACTCATTGCTCCACTATTTTGCCCAAATGCAGCAATGGAAGGTTTTGCTATAATCCCCGCGTCAAGCTGGGTTTTTTACAAGTTCATACCAATCATGCCTTGTCCTTCTCCTTGTAAGTCATTGTGAGGAAGAGGCAAAGCCAGACAGCAGGATAAGGACAATTGTAGGTTTTTGCGCCACTCCTTAAATTATTCTATTTTTTTTTTTTTAATTATTGAATTTCTGAATTCTGCAAAACAGTTTGTTGGATGTAAAACGTTGAGCGAGGTTTTGAGTTCTACTCCAAATATACTTACGGTAAGTCTTTGAAAGTCCACAGAATTCGGACGTTTTTATCGTAAATTGCAAAACAGAAACCAAAACAGAAAAAAAAACTAAATAAGCAAAGAAATAAAGTAAAAGCCGCGCTTAATATTCTGGGGTCTAGTCAAAGTAGCTCGCTTGATTACATCTTTTCGGTATAAGAAAGACAAAATTTTTACACCTGCCATAATCCAGATTACGGCAAACAACGAACTATCTCAAGTTCAAAACACTCATTGAATTTACCTACAAGGCCTTTCCTCGCCATTTAAAACTGAGCAGAGATAAATCTGCAAAGGGTGATTGTCGAAGGAAGCGAATAATATTTTCCCGTAAATCATTGACTTTTCCGAAGAAAAAAATCGTAGTCCTAGTCATTCAGCTCGAGTTTGTTTGCCGCGCCGGTGGGGCACTGATATTCTGCGTCCATGCGCTTTTCTACCAAGACGCTCTCTAATTGACAGGTGTCAGATCATGACAGATACTTATCAAAAAATGTTTCAAAGCTTGCTTCGAAGCCTACTAGATCACTGCTATCATTGCAGAAAGGAAATGTTTCGGTGGATCCTCATTCCTTAATTTCCATAACCCATCTTTTCAAAACGCAGCAACGTAGTAGGAATAGCAGGGAAAGTAGAAGATGCAGCAGTTGATGAAAACATGAAGACTCAACGAATCAACAAGAAATTGTCGGGCAAGTACGGGCACCCAGAGACACCAGTGAAAAAAAGGAGGGAAAGAACATCATGTAAACAAAACAGCAGCTCAACAGATGGGCAGAATATTTCGAGGAGCTGCTCAACAGACACAGACCAAGTCTAGTAAAACCCTCCGGAGATTCAGTCAGCAGAATACAACCTCCCTATAGACTGCAGAAAGCCAACCAAAGAGGAGGTTAAGACGCCCTTCAAGCTTCTGAACGGAAACGCTTCAGGACCTGGCAGAATACCAGCAGAAGCACTGAAGGTACAGAGGAAATCCTTACCCCTTGTTTGAGAAGATCCGGGAAGAGGAAAAAGTACCTACAGACTGGAAGGAGGGATATCTTGTCAAGTTACCAAGGAAAGGAGACATCAGCAACTGCTCCAACTAAAGAGGAATAGCACTTCTCTCCGTGCCTGGAAAGGTCTTCAACAGATTCATTCTAGGAAGATTAAAGGACGAAATGGACCCAAAACTGAGAAACCAGCGAGCAGGCTTCCGAAGGTAAAGATCGTGCGCTGATCACAGAATGTTGGCGTAATTACGGCCCTGAATTATTCGGATTAATAGGCTGCTACTTATGCTGGGCGATAGGTGCACTGCTGAAAAGTTAATAGTTTAGGCTACAACAGAAATGGTAGTAGCAAGTTAGAGTTAGGACCAGAAATTTGGTCATGAGAGATTAAGGAAAACAATGCGTTTTAATTTTGAAAGGAAAGGGGGAAATGTTTGATGAACAATCCTAAAATTGAATTGAAAGAAAAGAAATAGTATGCACTAGATGAAGAGTTAAATTCAATTTAATACACAGATATGGCCGCCTTTTCATGGTTTGTACACCCCATTGTATCATCTGCGTAATCTGGTACATTCCCCTCGTTTATGAGTCGACGATAGTCACCTCTGAGAAATGCCAAGCAGCCTCACATGCTAATCAGCAATACCAATTTCTGTGTAATTTCTTTGTTCTAATTTATTACTGATTATTTAATCCAAACTTTTTTCCTTCTCTGTCCAATCTTCTTATCCATTCATCAGAACTTTGGTTATTTTGGACAAGTTTACCAGCTGTTCGCTTCAACTCTTAAATACCGACTAATTACTTTCACAATATCGAAAAGGTTCCCAACAAATTTGAAACCACAAACGACGGGGATTGAAAACAGAGACAAACTGAAGACATAGTTTTTGCTTTCAGGATGAATTTCAATTAACGCAATATCTAAATCGGCCTTCTTTGCTTCGACAATTTGCACTCCATTGCAGATCATTCCCAAATATCCAAACGCCAATCGTAGCCTTCATCTCTTTTAAATAATTCGTGTGCGGTACTCATCAAACAAAACAGACTGAGAAGATCACAACTCTCCACCAAAGCAAACAAACTTACTTTTCGCCCGGAGGAGATCCTACATCTAACCCGGCTTTGTTGTCGGAAATCTCTTGTCGATCCGCCTCTTCTGAAGACGGTTTGAGTCCCCTAATGGTCAGATCATACACGACTTCCTCGATTTTCTTCAGATCATATTTGAGTCCATCAAATTTTTTTCTAAGAGAGTCATTTTTAAGGTTCAAAAGTCTGAAGCCGGCGTCTAGTTCAGCCACAAAGGCAGCTATTCGGAAAGGCCGGCCATAGTCGGCTGATGTGACACTGTTCACTGCAAACCGTGACTGGAACAAAACAAAATCAGTGAGATGGAGGGAAGACGAACTAAATGCACATTTTAAATGTATCTGAATCAGTTTTGAAAATTAAAGTAGCCTTAACGAGTTTATCAACTTTAAGTAATGTATTAAAATCATCACAGAACAGACGCTACAAAAGGAGACAACATATCAGTACATGACAATCATGAACATGAACCCTGACAGACTCTTTCTTTTGAAAGTTGTACTGAAAATTCAACTTGATTTTATATGGGATTGGTGTTTTTCAAAATATGTCTATTGTGGAGATCAACATAGTCCTATTTTCCTTTTAAATTCAAAGTGAAAATTAATAGTGTTTTATAATACATGTATTTTCCACGATGTTGCAAGCAAACTCTATATACATGTTGTGACGTTCCTTCTTCTGCTCTATCCCTTAAAATGGCAGGAATATTAATTATACGCAGAAGAAAATTCAAAGGCTTTTGCCTTTTTTTTTACGAGGTATATTTAAAAGCAGATACTTTTCCGGCTAGGGTTTTGTCAGAGAATAGCCCCTAACTCCTTAGGATGCGCTAAAAAATGAAGTGTCCCACACCAGTCAAATATAATTTTGAGAAACTTATAAGACTAACCATCTCATTAGCAAGTAGAAGAAGGCCGGTGAGAAAATCATCCAGATCGATATGAAAACCATCCGTTGTCCTGTCTACTTGAACTACAAGGACAAGCATAAACACATAATTAGCAAAGATTAAGAATAAACTGTGGCTATGTAATTTCAGGGACTTTATTTGAAATTTGGAGTTCCTCAGTTCAATCCTCTGTATTGAGCCATTTCCGTGATGCAAATATGTCGTGGGCAAAATTGCAGCAAGGATAAACTGTGCACTCGAACAAAATGGCTCATCCAGCCTGTGCTTATTCTGTAGCATGAAGTCGGACTAGGAGTACTGTTTCTCCACGTGGATGCAATGCCAGTCCATCGCAAGTAAAATTTAATCTTAGCTTTCTCGCATCTGCGTTCGACCTGTAAATGTCGTTTGCATCTGCAAGAACACTCGGGTCGCACACGTGAACCATCCCCTACAGGTCTGAATCACAGTCACCTACCTCCAAGCATTTCTGCTAATTCTAGCCGAGTGATGAGTCGTTCACTCTCCAGGTACACAATAAAACCACCAAGAAAGGCAAACCTTTGGCTAGTAAAGCGCCAGTGATCACAGAATCTGCAACGAAATTGATACGAACAAGGATAACATGTAGTGAGGGCCTATATCTAATTAACATCAGTGTTACATTTTACATTGGAGCGATCCTCTTTAAGTTTTGTTCTTATTATAGATAAATGTGAACAGTAGCCTGAAAGCAGCGATCACGAGTGTCTTTAACTCTAAGGAATGGAATTCTGTATCCTTTCCAAGAGGCCTAATAACAAGATCCAGTTGTCCTTGAGGATATTTTAAGGCTTCAGGAAATTAAAGAGACTAAGAAGATTAGGAAAAGGGAAGGACAAGGATATAACGAGAACGATAGAACAACGAAAACGACAACAACAACAATGAATGACGTTGAATTCTACATGAAGTGAAAAGTCAGGAGGTAAAAGAAACAATCAAGTATGGATTGTCCAAAAATATATCACAGCAACAGCAACAACAATCCTTTATTTGTGCTCTTCAGATTTTGAGAAGAAAGATAACAAATAAATGGAAATAAAAACTATATTAAAAATGACACCTATGCTAAAGAATATGCAATGTGAGTCTCAAGATGAGAAAAATCAAATGCAGTGTACCAGAGTGAGTGTCTTTCCACTATGGTTACCCTTAAATGATGCATGTGAAAAAATACACTTCATGTTGTGACAGCTGATTACAGTTGTCCGCCTAAGAAATTTCCTCTGTTTTTAATTCCATATTTCCCACTGGGCAAAGGTTAAGTCTTTACTTAATAAGCCCTGCCTGTCATATGACTGACCTGTAATACTGACCAGAAGGTATTTTCTCCACAAGATTTTTGTATTGAGACTTCACTGTAGTCAACATTTCCCTGCTTTTTGCACAAATCTTCTCTATGGCTGGATGAAAGAGTAAAATAAATCCAAAATTCTCCCTGAACTGTTGGTATACATCATTAGACTGACAATAAGATGTTAATAAACAAAAATAAATTCTTAATTTCTACAAAAAAGTATATAACATTTACGTGTCCTTGTCACACAATACCATGTTCCAAGAATTAGTACCCATTGACTGAGCAGTGGGGCAGTGGGGGAAATATTTGGCTTTACAACAAAAAGTATCTACTGCTCACAGTGGAAGGTCCATATGTCACAACCAAGGTCTGTGAGCAGAACAGCCCTAACAAACTCTGTCAAGAGGTATTTTATCCTATGAACACCATTCCTGTCAGGTTAAATTTCACCAAAGTTCAAGTATAAATAACAAAAAAGAAATGATGCTATTCTGATCACCTTCTTCATAATACAAGAAATATCTACTTGACAATATTGAAACAAAATAAGCAAATCAAGATACCTTCCGGGCCTGGGGATTGATGCACTGCTTGCAAAACAGCCAGTATTTCTCTTGCAGACTGTTCCAAGTCTCTAGTCACTGTTTTGATTTCCTAAAAAAGGGGAATTTGCACTCAGTGCTACAAGTTCACTAGAAAATATTTGTTTTAAAAACTGAACATTTTCATTATCTTACATGGATGTCTTATAATGTATCATCTCTGGCTTGCTAGTGGTATTTCTTATTAAAAAGAAGTCTGCAGATCATGCTAGAAACAGCTCCATGGACTCATGCATGCAAAGATACAGCTCGTGAGTAGAAAGCTATGTTTCTGAAGTAATAGCATGAAAAAGATCATGCATGCATTTGGCATACTCTGCAAACTGGTTGTTCAATTAAACTTGAAAAATCAAATTTCCACCCTTAAATTCTTGATATTCATGTAGTTTCCCCCTTCCCAGTTAGTTTTTTATTAACCCATGTTCTCCATAATATTATACATTTTGCAAGGTCTGAAAGGACCTTACGAGCCTCTTAACTTGGTAGTCATTTCCTTTGTTCACGTGACCTTAATGTTTGATTCAGGGTGATAGAGTAATTAGATGCAAGTCACTCTTAATGGTTAAAGTGTTGTCAAAGGCAAAAAACCCAGGTCATGCGGATTCCCGATTTAGAGGCAAACTAATCTGAAAAACCACCCAAATCTTCAAAACAACAATTTTTCTGACGAGTAATTCTTTGTATTTCTATGGCAATAGGAGAAGTAAAATATATAACATATAGCCTGGAACAGCTTACAACACTAACTTTATTACTAAGCACGTGCGCATCAGTTATTGATTTGCTTTAACTTACAACACTTTTCCACAAAATAAAGTTAAACATCAAAGTTCCCTGAGACAGCGAGACCTTCGAAAAGCTTACCTCTCTTATCTCTTGGTCATTGGACAAGTAATCTTGGAATGACGCAAAGAGGGGTATAACAGTATTTCCTTCTGAGTTCATTGTCGTGTCCCTTTGTTTAGCCTCCATTTTGTTGAGTGCTCGTAATATGCTGTACAGCGGTATTCTGCCTAATTTGCTTGCATATGTATGCACATTTGTTGCGATTTCAAAATGGCGTCCTTGCCAACCGATATGGTTTGTCAAAGTTTCATCTTCTTTTCCCGAATCTGTGACTTCATTTATTAACAAAAGACGGTTTTTGCATGATGGCAAACACGAGGCCACAAAAACTATCAACAAATAAGTCAGGAAGCAATTCGGTATGTTCTTGTTTCGGTGATATTCAAATTTATAACATTTTACATTTAGAGGAATCTTCAAAACTGAAAAAGTCATCAATCTGTATCCATGAACTATTTTCAGTCAAGTGTGGCTCTTGCTGCTGTAGCTCTTCAAGACCATATGACTCGCTCCCTTTCCCTCCAAGATCCATTCAAGAAAAAGAAAATCAACCATAGTTTACCAACTGCATCCAAAAAGAGGACAACCAAGGCCGTTGTAAACCGTGATGCCAAAGACGATCAGGACAAGAAAGAGTACGTTCTCGATCCTAAACCACCACCCCTTACCCTAGGTATGACTGAATATTGATGTATACCACAGGTCACCCAAGCTGGCACAACCAGCCCACACAAATATGTAAATGTATTTACGTTGTGCACTTATATATAATAGGCAACATATTAACTCCTTTTAGTAAAGCAAACTAAACTGGCTTTTTTCTTCACTTCCTCCGAATTATGTGAGTTTTCTCGATTGATTTATAACTATTAGGTCTGTTTTAGTTTCCCTGCCTTGTCATTTGCCCTTTACCCTTTGCTTTGGACAGAAACATAGGCATGTAAGAGTGTTCACAACTTTACTTGTTTACTGAGGCTCAGTGAGTAAGCTTGGATTTCCTGTGCATACTTATACAACTATGACATTCTGACCACAACAGGTGTCTTATTCACTCAAACAATACCTTATGACACTTCATGGGTAAAACTGGTAACTAGTTTACTTTCTGTTGATGTTGGCATGGACTTCAACCTGTGCTCATGTAAGATCACCTCAAAGCCATAAATGTATATAGCAAGGACTGGCCACTATACATGTACCTCACACCTGAGAATTAAACACACTACATCATCTTTAACAAGCATTCAATGAAGTTATTCTTGAAGTGCCCTAAAAGCTGGCAATCCACAGGATTGTGCTTTTGTTAAGGTTTTACATGTACTTGCTACTGTAGCTAATTGATTTTACATTTGAATTACTGAGAACTTGTTGCTGGGTTGGCAAGAATTCCAAATAAAGTTGACATCTAGTAATGGCAACAAACTTCTTAGCTCAGAAACTTGGCCTTGTTGAGGCTCCAGGACTTCTTCTGACAGACAAAGAATGGAAAGAGGTTAAGAAGAAATCCAATGAAAGACAGGATTCTAGTCAGCCATGTGTAATCTGCAAAGAAGACTTTGGTTTACAACAGCAGGTAATGTGTGTTATTTCCTAGGTGAACCATGCTATAATGTATTACACAGACTGTCACAGACATACATGTTGACAATCTCATTCATGCATTTATTTAATACTTATTGTAAGTTATAATTATCTTATAACTTTTCTCTTTGACAGAGTACATGTTTCACAATAATTAAGAGTCTTAGCACTTTAGAAATATAAAAGTACTCTCTGATAATAATTTATAATCAGAAGGAACAAAGGTGATAGGAAAGATGCCACAGTTTTTGAGACTATAAGTTTTGCAAAAACTATGACAAGCCAAATCTAATTGCTGAAGAGTTTGTAAGCAAATTTTTGTCTTAATTTTATATGCTCCTAAAAAACTTATTGTAGTATTTCATAGTTGTGATGTACTGACTTCTTATCCCTGAAGCATTTTGGAATTTAAACCTGCTGTTTTTCTTAACCCTTTAATTCCCAGAAGTGATTAACATGAAACTTCTCCCTGTAATATCCATACATTATTCAGCAAACAGGTAATGAGAATATTCAAACTTATCTGATAGAAGCTGCTATCTTGATCTAGCACCAAGCTCTCATAACTAATTTACAAGGAAATATGTTGCAGCTAGAGGGGAGAATTAACAATCAGATCTTGGGAGTTAAAGAGTTAAAACTTTATGCCGTAGAGTTTTGCTTCATGTATGATTACTTGATGATATCTAATATAGTTGAAATGGGTGATATATTAAAAATGTTCATTTTCTTGAATTTTAGGTTTTGTTGTCATGCAGTCATGTTTTTCATAGGGTAGGTTTTGAGAATATTGCAATCACATGAAGCTTTATATGAATATCATTTTTATTACACATGCAAAAACTGAGCTTGTATTTTCCTTTAAAAAATTTTGGAATGTTCATCTAAAGATACACTGAAGGTATTTCACAGAGAAAATCAAGAAAGTGTCAAAACCAGAAATATTATTTTGCAAATGTTTTTGTGAGACTCAAGGAAAAGCCAGTCAGGCATGAATAAACTACATGTTAACATCAGGTTCATGAATGTCAAAGGAATTGTAGTATACTAATATTTACCTTAATTATGCCTTTTAGACTTGTCTTGAAGCATTTGAAAAGTTTTCTGGGCGCAAATCTTGTCCCATGTGTAGAAAAGAACAGTACCAAAGAAGGATTATCCATGAAGGTGCCAAGGAGTACAGAGAGAAATGTGCAACAAAGTACTTGTTTGATCTCACATAGTAATGGCTTCAGCACCTCAGTCTTTGCATTCTGAGCAGGTTTTTAGTGACGGATTGACAGTTTGATCCCTCTGATGGTCACTTGACAAAAAATCTTTTTCAATGTGCTCACACATGACTCATCAGAATTCTAAGCAAATGGTAGAAACCAAACAGCTTCTGGAGATGGTGCAAGTGCAGACACTATGGTCACTGCTGAATTCTGTTCAGAAATTCCAAATGAAGGCTTCCACAGCCGTTATTTTAGCACAAGATTTACCTTAACCTTTCAAGGTTTTCAGCACTATGATGTCCTCTGCACTCATCAATCGCCCAAAAAAACAGTTTTATAACATACTTCTCCTTTAAATTCAAATACTATGTATTGATTCGTTCATTTTACTCATTTATCACAGAAACTTGTATAATATTTATTTAACATAACCTTTTTCATTCAGTCTCAGCACTAACCGTCTTGCTTTTGATCACCAATCAGGATACAGTCTGCCTGGCGTGGCTACATTGTGCGGCAGTGGTACAAGAGGTTAAGGCAAACAGTGCCACCAAAAGACCCCAAACTTAGAAAGAAGTTTTACGAAAACAAGGTATTTACCTGTTACTTCGTGTTTTTTGGAATTTATTTAACCGAATTGTGCCATCAATAGATAGACCCCATCAGTCAGTGTTTCTTTCCCTCTAATTCACACCAATTCATCCTTGATAGTGACGAAACAATTAAGCTACAACATTTTGCCTCACTCTCAATATGCACCTGTTTTGTTCAGTTAGTGGGAGCACCAAACTTGGGTTTAGGAGACACTCGTTCGAATCCCGTCGAGGCTTGAATTTTTTTCAGCTGCACTCTTTTTAACAAATATAGTTTTTTTTTTCAATTTGTCGTGCAGGGAAAATTATTTAGAATAGACAGGAACACAAAAGGCCTAGGCTGCTTTTTTCACCTTTCATTTACGCAAACAGAAGTCCGTTTTTATATCAAACGGATTCTAAAATTTAGTCATTTAGGATGGTTTTTTTTAACGTCTCTGCAATATTCTTATTCCAGTTTCAAGATATCACCGACCGTCTCCTTCAATCAATGGAAGCTAGTAACCAGAGTGTTGATAATCTGTTGTTGGAGATCGACCAATCCATAGCCGCTAGTCGTGACACGATGAGGTATGCACACAACTCAGATGTAAAGTACCCACCCCATCCCTCACTTTTTTCTGCCCCCCTCCCCCCCCCAGCTCGAACCGACTTCATATGTGGAACCTCTCGCAAACTTACCTACTTTGTTATTAATTTTACTGCTTTTAGTTTTATCTTATGGAAGGCGTTTATTAATTCCCTAGACAATTGAACGAAAACAGTGAAGACACATCAACCGAGACAGACTGGGATCAAGTCCAACTTCAAGTATGTTCAATCAGTAAAAGTGTCCAGTCTCTCTCGTGCTCGATAGAGCGTAACGGATGTCATTTTTGCCCTTTGTTGTTATTGCTGGTCAACCGCTCTCTGTTCAACCTTCAAACCCGGAGAGTGGCCTGCATTTAATTTCTCGTTTCAGTAATACTACTGAATCATTCATTAAGATCATGAGAATAACGAAAGTGATCACCAACCTGAGAAGTTTTTCAAGTGTTAAGGAATTCTCCATGTCAATACCAAAGAAAATGTATCGAGAAGGGTATGGAGAATATTGATGCTGATATTAGGTTTAACGCTCGTTTTTTCCACTCTCAGGCCGTTCAGAGAAGTGTCACTGACTGTCCGATCTGTATCATGCCACTCACTGACCAAGGACTGTACCGGAAAAACCCTTCATCACGGCCCACTGTTCTTCTGTCTTGTTCACACGTGTTCCATGCCACATGTCTGCAGGCTTTTGAAGAATTTTCCTTTGAAAAACGCCGCGTGTGTCCTGTTTGTCGGTCTTCTTACCACAAGAAGATAATGTAGAGGCCATAAAAAGGAAACTCTTTTACACAGGACGATCATAGACTCTAGGAAATAACTTGTATAACTTGGAGAGGACGTTTAGAACAATTTCTCGTATTAAATTATTTTATAGTAAACGCAGGACTTAATGTGACTTTTGAATGGTTCCCCACTATAATACCACGCAGTCAATAATAATAATAATGATAATAATAATAATAATAATAATAATAATCTGTCTTTAATAAATCAGGAACAACAAACGTGTAACTTTACAATATGAGAAATTATAAATATAACTAAGAATATATGAAAAACTGTAACATTGTAACATTATGAAGTTCCTTATAGACGGTGAATTTAATTGAAGAAGCATTTGTTCAGGAAACAATGCTTCAAGATTCTCATTGAGTTTCCTTAAACCCCCTCTTCACGAAAAAACTCGGACCAAAAACAAAAAGAAGAGGGGGCATATATCGAAAGTTTAAAGCTTGACGGTGGACGTTACTTGTACTAGAGCAATAGCCGGGAATCGAGCCAGTTTTTTTAACTTAATACTTCCAGTTCTTAGCATCGTGAGTCTCCTGAGACGGCAGATAGAAATATATAACTAACGTAAATGTGCTAAAATGACTGACCAATTAAAAGAGTTTGTTCTTCTCGTGCGGAGAAAGACACAGAGAAGTACTGTGCAAATAAAGATAAATACTGTGCAAATTAGTGATGAAAACTGTTCATTAACTTTGTATATGATCGATTAGTAGAAGCGGGTTTTCTTTTCCTGTAGAAAACGAAATTGTGACAAAAATAGCATGCAGTGTAGTTGAGAATCCACCGAATTAGTCTTAACGGAGATATTTTCTTTTGCCACGCTCTGTAGATTGTTTCCCTAAAACTGAAACCATATTTATTACAATCAAAATTAATTAATTATGTATCCCACGGTCCTTGATTTCGGAAGTGTTTGTTTAGCGAATTCAATTGGCCCTTGATATTTCAATAACACCAACCAGTGCTTATTACCTTTTGTCAACTCAACTATAAAACCACGTGTTTACATAACAATGACCAACAATGCCTACCTAAGTGGTTGAATATACATCTCACCATGGCAACATCTCGCTATGTGGTTTACAAACAGTAAACGCGCTAGTTTTACAATAACGAAGTAATTGATAGAAGTACTGCAAGGTCGACGCAAAATGTCCGACGACAGACTGTTTGCGACGAGTTACAGATATGAAGTACGCAATCCGAACGCAAAGATGCTACAAAAAGCACTGACTCTGCAGAAATCGAGGATTGAGGTAAAACTATTAGGGGACAAACTAACGGTTACTTATTCTGTTTGATATAACTGAAACTGCTCGTGTTTCTGTTAGTTTCTCTCAGAAAGGTAACTTAAATTTCTGTCAAAACTGTCTGTGATAGTGGTAGTATAGAAAAGATATATACTTCTAGATATCAGACTTTGTCATTCGGTAAGATATCGATCTATTTAAAAGTGAAATTATCTCAATTACCTGAGACTGGAAATCTAGGTCAGTTTCACCACTAATTACTGCTGTTACCTTGATTTGTTAATAGACAGATGAAAAAATCGCGCATAGAACAGAGGTTGAAAACTTGTGAGTAATTTTCAATATGTTTCCTGAATAATGTTTCCAACGCCTTGTAAGTCCTGGATTATAACATCGTAATTAATTTCTGGTCATTTGAGGTCTTTAAGTGAATTAGACAAGCATGTAGGTGTTAAAAAAAGGTAACTAAGCATTATCAACTGAGCTGATAACATAAATCAGCTACCGTAAAGAGTTTCAAAGCTGACGTTTCGAGCGTTAGCCTCTCGTCCGAGCGCTCCTTCATCCCATCGAGCGTTAGTCTATCGCTCTGACGAAGGACAAACGCTCGAAACGTCAGCTTTGAAACTCTCTGTGGTGGCTAATTTACGTTATTATCTCAGTTGATAATACTAAATTACACTGCTATACTCTCCCACCGACGCAGCACCGCAGTTTCTTTAGAAACCTACCCCCTTGAAAAAAAAAGTGAACTCGGGAGTTTGTTGAGATGGAAGATTTTTAGTCGCCTTTTTCCAGAAAACGACTTTCACACACTAAACTTAATTAATTTCGCGATAGCCAGCGTCGCTCACCGACACAAGACGATGAGGTTACTAAACTACTACCGTCATGGGACGTTTAGGAAAAATTAAACATAATGCATGTAAAACGTTTCCTTTGAAGTGAAAGGCCCACATTGGCAGAATTTCTATATCTTGCCACATAAGCTCCGCACAGTTTCAATGCTCCAATTTTTTCCTGTTTTCAGTCAGTCGTTCTCCTAACTTTACCGATATCTTTTTTAGAGTTTCAAGTGAACTGGAAAGAGCAAGGTGGTTCAGTTCTCTTGAAGAGGTAAGGCAAGCCTTTGTCAGGTATATCAAACTCAATTGAATTTTTAGCAGTTATCATAAAACTTCCTATGTTCCGACCCGTTCTCTAAAAGGGAAACCCACAGACGCTAGATATGAGTGCATTACGCGGGCCGGGGGATTGGTACTGGTTACCGGTTACTAGCTTTGTTCCTCCTTCACTTATGGATGTAAAGGATGTTCGTTTGTTGTGTGTCTTGGAAAGGTACCTGAGGGGAAGGGTGGGGGAAAAGGTCGTTGTAGTAATGTAATGCACTGCACCTCACGCCCCAACCCGAGATTGAAAATCAAGTAGCAAAGCTCCAGAAATTCAATATTTAAACGAGGGAGTAGGGAAAAGCGAGCTGAAAACGAAAGCATTTGGGAAAACAGTCCACAAGTTTCTCCAATCTTTCCGCCTCTTCTTTCCTATTATTCCTACTCCTGCAATTGCACCGTAGTTTGTGATTGAGTGTACATCCAAAAAAAGGAAAATGTTTCTCGATTTACGAGTTGCTTTACATTCACACCCTGTCACACTCTGTTCACGGGTTATTCACTGCTAGTTAGCTTTCCGCTCTTGAAAAAGGAACATTTGATCACGGGTGCTCCAAAAAGTGAAAAAAAAACTTCCTTAACTGACGTAATCTGTTGTAGGACAGTGAAAAGCGGCGCCAGAAAAGAGAAAAAGAGCTTGCCGACGATGAACTAAAGATGGCCAACGAACAATTCATAAAAGTATGTTTCTACATTGTTGTGTGAACTGCAAGAAAAAAATTCCTCTCTCGCTCACATGCTGTCACCAACTTAATGATTTCTTGCTTTTTCGTTTTCCGAAAAGTATATATGCTACTGAAACATATAGTGTGTGTTTCACGGTACGTATGGTCCTTTTTAAACCAGTTAACCCCTTAGAATGGTTAGTTAAATAATCACCAACTTAAAAAAACCTTAGTTCTCAGACAAATTATCCTATATAGTACCACAGAAAACTCCCAGAGCACGGAATGGACAACATGCATACCTATATTCAAATAGTAAAGCTGCTTCTGGCGAATGAGCTCCAGCCCTCTGCCGTGATTATTTTAAACTTCTCGTCTCGTTTACTTATTTTTCGCTGATTCAGTCATTTCGTTTCTTTGTTTGAATGTTTGATGTATCTCTTCTCTTCCACAGATTCGCCGTGCTCGACTTAAAAAGTTGTTAACAGAGGAAAATATCCAATACGAGAAAGAGCTCAATGGTTTCGGAAAAGCGTTCTACAAGAAAAGAATTTAAGCCTACATTAGCGTTGTTAAAAAGATTCCGCGCACCTTTGGCTTATAAGTTAGATCTATCATCAATCGTCTTATTACTACATGTTATTATATCATTAGATAGCTTCAAAGTAAATAACCGAGATTTTTTTCTCAAACCCGTAAGACGAAAACGAACTAGAGTATTATGGTTTATTGAGAATCTTAACGGTCAAATCCAGAGGTCAACATATCTCCGAAGGGCTTCCTTGCGAAAAGACTATTAACCGACTGTTCCTCCCCCATCAAAGAGCGACATCTCCTCAATATGCAACAAGAAGCGGACGAAAGGTTATTTCTCTGGCGTGAAGTGTGACCCAGCCCCTTCTCGTCATTCCACATTATGTGTTTGCCCATCCCCCTCCTCCCTTACGTTATTAGGACCGTGCGGAAAGAAATAATACCGTTGGTAATCGATTGAGAATGGCTTCTTTACCTGACTTTTGCTGCAGGTTGTGTTACATGATTGCATGATTGACAGCCAGGTTTCCTTCTGCTGCTGATTACGGATCAATAAATCTGGGCAACTGCCCACCTACCCCTCCCCATAACCCAACATTAACCTTAAGTTGTTGTCAATTGACTGTTGTTGAGTTAGGGGAGGGGCAGGTGGGCAGTTGCCCAGATACTGATATTGATCCGATTAGACAAAGTCCCCATGAATAGTGGATTGTCGAGTGTCAAATGCATTGGGCAGGGGAGGGGAGGGAAGGGGGGTAGTACTACTGATGCTTGAGCAGACCACTCTGCACCACTGATGCATTGAGATGCAGCAGAGGAGATAGCAAGGTCTGCAAACATGGGCATATGCAGTGTTATGAGTATTAGTAGATACCACACTAATAAATAATGCTTTTCACACACCCTGATCAGCTAGTTTGGAGGTGAATAACAAGCACTTTTCACCTCCAAGCTGAAGATAAGACAAAATTGGGCATAAGGAGTATAATTTCTGACCATTTTTTTTGTAAAGGAAAGAAATAAACTGATATTTTACATATTATATTTTTTACAACCTTTATTTACCTTGTTTGTCTGCCCATTTTAATGTCTCCAACATACCAACTTAATTGTCTTTTAAACAAAACATTATTTTACAATCTAAAAGTTTTTTTATTTTTCCTGGTACAGTTGGTTTAACCATGTTGGTATTTTTCTGTTTCCAAACTTCCTTGTACTTAATAAGTACCAAAAATTGAAAATATTCCTCAATAGATCGACCAAATCTCTGGGTACTTTGTACCTTCCATCATGCATTTAAGTGACCAAAAAAGAAAAAAAAACAAAATACTTGCCCATAGATTAACTCTACCAAGTCGTTTTATGTAGAAACTCAATTTTCAACTTTTCAACCTAAGGTCTTTGTGAAATATAGAAAAATATGTATTAATATACAAATACATATTTGTTTTCAAATTCACTTGTATTTAGTAAGTATCAAAAACTGAAAATATTCCTAAAAATATCAACCAAATCTCTGGGTACTTTGCACCTTCCATCACACGTCTTAGTGACCCAAAAGAAAAAAAAATTTAAATTTTTTTCCCATGGGTTGACTCTACCAAGTTGTTCTATGTGAAAACTAAATTTTCAACTTTTCCACCCTAAGATCTTTATCAAATATTGAGAAATATATTGAAATGTATATAAATACTTTTAACCACTCAAAAATGATCAAGCAGCTTCTGAGTGGAAGACTGTAGACTATGAGCAATCCTTCTTTTTCCCTTCTTTATGGTAAAAGAAAAAAAAAAAGAAAAAAATTCAAGGCATGCACCTCACTTCCAAAGTTCCAAGTGCTGCCCCAACATCAATTATTTGCACAACGGATTTCCCAAAAAGGAGGAACTGATTATAGTTTAGGATGGTGGTGGTGGTTCATTCAATCAGTGTCCACATCAAGCCTTCGATATTGACTCTTATAGGCTAGAAGCAGAGGAACACAAACTGCAATGCCACCTACACTGACCCAGTTCATCCACTGGACATTAGACATGGGAAACATGAAGGCTGCATCAAACACAAATATCACTGTATTACCCAGAACAAGGCCTATGCCGGCAGATGTCCCCTCCCCCACAGGGTAAACACACTCCATAATAAGCTCAAACAGAAGTGGAATTGTGCAGTTAAACAACAACCCACTGCAGATAATTGAAGCAAATAAAAGCTCCTGGGAAAAGGGCAAGATTTGAGAACAGGTCAGAGTGAAGATCAGCTGCATTATAGTAGTGCCAGTGAGAAGACCCACAAGGATTTCCTTAGTCCACCGCTTTACGATATCTGCTGACCTGACAACAAAGGAAAAAGACTTGTATCATAAAACAACCAATAACAATTGACTTCTTTGTTACCCACTTGGTTACTAGTGCAACAGCTGTACAAAAATGACCAAGGGCCTATATTTGCTTGTACAGCTAGAGCAAACGAGATTAGGAAGTATCTAATTAATATATAACACAAGTAACAAACTTGTTTATTTTGAATTTGCTGGCTTTTTCCAACAAACGTAGAAGGCTTATGACCGTTTCCTGGCTTGTATTTGGTCCACATGAAAAAATCCCAACCAAGTAAAAACCAATCAGAATGTTCAGATTCACCTCAGGACTCTCTTGCCATATAATTATAAGCATTATAAACCTTTGAGGTTAACTCCCAGAAGTGATTAACATGTAACTTCTCCCTATGATATCCATACGTATTCTAGCAAACAGTTAATGAGAATACTAAAACTCATCAGGTTCAAGTTTTTATCTTGATCCTACATCATATTCTTGTAACTAATTCACAGGGAATTGTGTAGCAGCAAGAAGGGAGAATTAACAATCAGACCTTGGAGTTAGAGGGTTAAACATAAAGAGATTCCAACCCCCCTGTTGTACCATTAAAAAAGTGATAAGGGGTGAAAATCTTCAAAGGAGTGCAAGATTTCTTTTCTTTATCTACCTAAGATTAAAAATATTTCTTCAAAATTTATTAGGACTTTTTTTTTGGCTTTTACTCTACCAGCCTTTCACCCCTTCCCACCCCGATCACACTTGCTACTGGTTCTATCCCTTACCATATGGTATTTGAACCTAGTCTAATGCAAGTCTCTTACTGAGAGGATGAATGGCAACATGGAATGTAAATGTTGTTATATGCTCAACTCATAATGTCATAATGTAGTGTTTTAACAGGTTATAAGGGCTTTTCCTGAAATTTTTTCTTTTTTTTTATATGTTGAGAAAGAAAAGACAATCTTTGTAGTTTGTGGAAAATGCAGTACAAGAAAACATGTAACAGTGAATGTGGTGTGGTAAGGTTGAAAGGATTGAGATTAGCAAATAGCAGAACCAGAATAACCTGTAAATAATAAAATATAACCTTACAAAAACAAGGTTTTTACCTTGCAATAATAATTCCAGAAACAATTCCAGCTAAACTTCCACCAGTTCCCAGCAATCCAGAAGTTTTCTCATCAATTTTAAATGGCTGAACAGCAAGGTCCAAAACTGATAACCAACCAGAATAGATGCCAAATGATGCTGCAAAAACAAAGATCAACAACCAATAGGACCAATTGGTTATCAGAATTTTAATTCCTTCTACATATCCAGTTTTGGTTTGTTTTCTTGTTAATTGTGTTATACTCGGAGGAAGAGGTGGTTTAGAAGGAAAATAGATGGTAACACACAAAAAGAGAAATGCTGCAATTCCAATCTGTACATAGAAGTAATCCATGAGTCTGCCCTCAATGAACTTAACATCCTTGTCTGTCAAATTATGCTTGTTACCCTCAAAGGTATCATTTGTCTCAGGTATCATTGTAGGTCCAATAAAGAAAGCCAGGGCAGCTCCAAAATTAGCGGCCAGGGTACCAATGGCTGTAGCAGTTGTGCGTTCACTTGGAGGAAACCAAGTTGCTGACACCAAGGGTGGGGCTCCATTTGGTATAAAGCTTGGCAGCATTGCTATAAGATGGCCAATGAAAATTAAAATAGTTCTTACTGTGAGGTCATGAAAAGGAATCACTTGAATTACTTTGCCAACCAGAAGCATTGTAGATGTAACCTGAACAGATAACCTTAAACCTGCAAAGAAGGAAGACATAATAACAGTCAAATTTAATAAAATCATGAATTAACAGAAATCCATTTGGGGGAATGTGTTTCTTGCAAGGCTCAACCCTTTGACCTGACTTAGAGAGACTGGCACCTAATTTCTCCTTTTAATATTATCACCCCTAATCATACATTAAGGTCACAAGAATATAAGGAAAATTGATCACCAACTAAAGAAGCTCTCTATTTAACGAATAGATTTCAAGTTGCTGTGTGTCTGTTCAGTAATAGATCACAGAGGATGTCAAAATGTGGTAAGAACATCAGTGACACACTTGGCTGCACCTCGTGTGCCACTTGAACCAATCAGAATGCATGCATTACTGAGTTTATTATATAAAATAAAACACATTCTCGTTGTCAGCACCTTAAGAGATATATATAGAAAAGTAAGGAGAATATGTATACTGATGTTAGGGTGTAAAGGGTTTAAGAACTGCTGAAAAAGAAATGTAACACTTAAGGTAGAGGAACAAATTTTCTACAATGAAAATAATTTGTGGAGAGTTGAGAGAGAGGACCTGAAATGGTCTAGGCCCCCTTTTTTCTTAAGCCTGTCAACTTCTCATGCAACATTAGTCCAATTAGGTTCTTTTGTACAGAAAATGTCAATACATGGATGACTTGGAGCCCAGGGTTTAAAGAATCAATAAAATCCTCATCTGATCAAAATCAATAAGTATGAAGAGAAATTTCAGAGCTCATTGCCTCAGAGAAAGAAGAGCAATATTCCACAGCGATCTCCTGGGTAACAGCTCAAGTTTTGTTTGCGCTTTTGCAATCTGCTCTATTCAGTTTAAGAGGCTCCAGGAACATTAAAAAAGTTCAGCGTGACATTAAGAACAATGACATTGATATTGACGTTTTTGAGGGAGCCATACACTTACACAAACTTGAGGACAAAACTCTTTTAAACTCAGTTATGTACTCACCAAAATTGTCGCGGAAGTAAATGAGCAATTGATATGCCCTCTTCAAAAATTACGAAAGACATTCTAACATTCATAAATACATAATTAATTATGTAAACATCATTTTCAGTTTTAATGTCGGGTTACTCTTGCTTGGCATTTCGATGATTTTCCCCTATTATCTCAAAATTAAATATCTTGTTCCTTGGTAAACGATGAAACGATTATAACACCTCTACATGTGGGCGCAAGATTGTAAACAATTCATATGAAAATATAGGCTGAAGGTTTTCTTCTATTGAATTTTTTAAATGCATGTTATTTAAGGAGCAAAATACCTTTCGTATCCATCAGCCACGTTGAAGGAAAAGCACCCATGATAGGACCGATCGCTCCCAGCGACGACAGCAAGAGAACTGTCCATTTTTCCCAACCGAACACAAGCCGACATGATCTTTGGATAGGACCCCAAGTGTTCCACATCATGTTCGATACCATCGAGGTTACCGTGAACACGAACAGCACATACCATCGCCTCTTGTATACTTTGCATGTTCTTTCGTTCGATGATGATATTTCTTTGTTTTCAACATCTGTCTGCCTATCAGGACTGACAATATCATCATCGTGCAAAGGCCTCCAGCCTTCGCTGTCCTCCATTTCTGCACACCCGGTGGGAATCTCGTTCCTGGAGGCTACGCTCCCCTGATCCCACGCAGGGTATCCCTGAGTTTTGAGTAACCGCTAGGTCCCAAAACGCTATAAGTGAATGAAGTAGGAGACTGGGGCAAGTAACATGGCATCAGTATTTTATTTATCGTGAACTGAAAATATTTGCTTGCAGACGTTAGAAAATTGTCATCCAAAGTTAATTCTCGCACTTGAGGTTGTGGTTGGTGAAGAAGAGTGTTCATTTGTTGTGAAGTATCATGGAAAGAGCGATCAGTCAGCAGTTTCAAGTGAGTTGCTTCGCGAATAAACAGTCCATCCGATCGTTCTGAGACACGAACAGAAGGAGAATCTTTTCACTTGTGGGAATTTTGCGTTAAAGAAAATGACCGAAACCTTGTACTTTTCGATTAGCTGTGAGTAATCATAACTGTCTGACTTGTTTACCTTGAGTGGGTGTGTGTGTGGGTGTGGGAAATTTCCCTATTGCTTCAGTGACCCTAGAAATGTAACATCACAAATTTACTACGAGTTACAAGTCAGTATCTTGGCAGCAGTGAATCTCTGGAAGACGAAAAACTCTTTGAGTAAATAACCGACTTAATTTTTTAGCTTTGTGTATTAAAAATATCTTGATTTCTTCATTTTTCAGTTGGAAACTTCTTGTGATGCTGTGCAACACCAAACTAATTTATATGGCACAGTGAAAGAACCACCAGTTTAAATATTCTTCCCTTAGAGTTAAATAATTGGAGGTGATTGATGGCAACCACAGAAGAGCAGCCATGCAGGTTATGCAGACAGAAGATCCAGATGATATCAAGTACAAGTACATGGTGGTCATTTTGTTTACAGGTTAGTTAAGCCTGTTAGTTTTATATCTGTACAGGAGATTTTGTTATGAAATACAAAGCAACATTTTGTTTATTTATTTATTTATGTATTTACTCAGTTATTTTAATCAATATTTTTACTTTCACACTCTTTTGTAACCCTTCAAAGTTGTTAAGTTTTACATCTGATCAAAAAAGTAGAGATCATTTTACAGAGATGCAGAAGAAAGACTTGCCAAAAAACATTATTCTCTTAACTTTCTAACCCCTAAGAGTGACTAGCATCTAATTTCTCCTTACAATATCACCCTTGAATGAAAAGGTTAGGTCATGAGAATAATGGAAATGGTCACCAACAAGATAAGCTGTGGATTATGAAATAAATTCTCCTCATCAGCACCCTAGGGAATGTATAGGGAACAGTATGGAGAATATGCATACTGATGTTAGGGTGGAAGGGGTTAATTTGTAATACAACCAATTTATATAGCCAGAGTGTAATTAATCATTTCTGTTATATTTTGTAATGTTATGCTGTGCCATTTGATTTTGAAAGATGAATTTAGGGTACAGAAGACAACTGAATAGAGGCATTACTATAGTTCAGTTATAAATTCAAAGGTGAACTTAATCAACTTATATTGATAAGGGATAAGTGATAAAAGCATCTAATACTGCCTTCTTTTGTAGGTAACCTTACTCAGCAGGCTAGAGGAGCCAGCCTCCTGCTGACATTAGAATGAGTCTTCCTGACATACCAAAAATTTGACATAAGAGTCCAGACAAGCAGCATCTCTCAGTCCAAAAAGTTGCTTTCTGCTACAGCCAAGCATTATTGCATCCAAGTTCAAGTGCCTAAAGGGGACTGGACACTAAACGGTTAGCAGAGCTAGTAAGTAAGTAAAGTAAGAGCTAGCAAGTAAACTCTTTACTTAAAGAGGATAGCACTTAATGGCCAAAAGGTTAATAAACTTGTGGCCCTCATACAATACTTATGATAATATAAATATAGATATCACTATGTAAAAATAGATACGTTATTATAGAAATAGAGACAGATATGCCAAGGCAGATATGTGGCCTGAACACAAGACTTAAGATGACTTACTACTTAATTGTTGCAAGAGAAAGAGATGAGCTCCCTACACAAACTCTGGAGGAATGTGTCCTGGCAGAGAAGGCCTGGAGTAGAATGTCTGCCAAAGGTAACTCTTTATTTGCGATTGTAATTCAGTTTTGAAACTTTCCAATTTCCGTTTTGTGTTAAGTCCTTAACCCTTTAACTCCCAAGATCTCATTAGTAATTCTCCTTACTGTCTGCTATACAGTTCTTGTGATGTTAGTTTGGGGAGTTTGGTATTGGATCACCTTATAATCCCCTAATTGATATATTTCTTTATTTTCATCACTTGTATTGATATTGTAAGGAGAAATTCAGTCTTGGTCTCTCATGGGAGTTAAAGGTTTATTAGGAATAAGGAGCAGGGCTCAGTATGACATGATATATTCTTTGAATGTTTAAATTTTTGGTGAACAGCTGGGGTTGGACAGACGGACGTCGTCTAAAAGACTTATGTCATTTTTGTTGGCCCATCATCAAAAAGTGCCATGCACCAATTGGTTCGTGGCTGACAATGAGGCGGACTTTATGCAGCACGTCATGAAGCTTTCGTGCCTCCAAGAGGGATTATATTAGAGTTTGGAAACTCATATATTCAAGTTATGTATTTTCTGTGCCATAGTGCGGTTACTGAATTCCTGAAGGAATTGAGACATAGCTAGTAAGTCACAGTTATCTCCAGTTAAAACAACTTTTAGGAATGTCAATGGGTAATAACTGGTTTGTTTCTTGTTTTTATGTGTTTCAGTAAATTCCTGCCTAAAACCATCCGTTCAACTTAACATAAATTCGTTATCCGTATATGATAACGAGAGGCCTGTTTCTTGTTTTAGGAGAGAAGCTGTAGCCGTGAGCCGTTTGGCATGCGAGGGATCAGGGTCCAAAGATAACGACGGGTATATATATTTCCTAGCAAGACGAGTTGTACCGGATGGAGATTTATGATCACTTCGTCGAAAGAATTGTTTAAGTGAAAGTTTTGAATTTATCAATATATCTTTAGGGTTTCAATGGGGTTAACCGTTAGCCGTAAAAAGGCCAACAAATTTAGACGTCATGCAAAAAGATTGACAAATTTTTATCGTCCGTTCTTTGGGAAGAAATTTAACGTGAGCCGTAAAATGGAAAAAAATGTAACGGTTAGCCGTAGAAGCCATTACCCTATTGAGACACTTACCAAAGAATGTTTGATACTTTTTTTGCACACATGAATATCAGAAGAGTACAGTATAACAAAGACACTCGCGCGGACCCACTTTAGCGTAAAATGTTTGTAATTATTTCGTAGAAGTGATCGAGTACTTAATGGAAATTTCCACGTATCCGCGTTTAAATTGTTCAAGAATGTTTGAAACTATTTTTTTTTACGCGTAAATGAGTATTACATGGATATTCCCATGTAACCGTTTTGGTTAGAAATATTTGATACTGTTTTGTATACGGGAAGGAGTATTACGTGGAAAATTTCCATAGATCATTTTAGTGAGGCGCTATCACATTGAAATCATAAAAGTATATTACAAAGAAATTTCCATGTACCCGCGTTTGAATTGTTCAAAAATGTTTGAAGCAACTTTTTAGTACGGGTAAATGAGTATTACATGGATATTTCTATGTCCCTGTTTTGGTCAAGAATGTTTGAAAATACTATTTTTAACGCGTAAATGAGTATTACATGGATATTTCCATGTCCCCGTTTTAAGAATGTTTGAAACTACCTACTGTTTTTCGCGCATAAATGAGTATTACATGAATATTTCCATGTACCCGTTTTTATTAAAAAATGTTTGATACTGTTTTGTGTACGTGAATGAGCATTATGTGCACATGGAAAATTCCATGGACTCGTTTTGGCCAAGGGTGTTTGAAACGATTTTTTACGCGTAAATGGTATTACATGGAAATTACCATAGATCGTTTTGGTGAGGCACTATTATATTGAGATCGTAAATACCGCTGACAAGTTTTCCTCTCTCAAAAATTCATCGACTTTTTAATACCTTAGTTGACCATTTGAGAGGTGTATGTGCTGCAGTTTGCGCAAGTTATCTTAATATTAGAGAGCAGTTCACCACCTATAACTGGAAAAGTGGACGCTACCACACTCATTTTTTTCTGTTAAGCAACAGGTTTTGAAACAACAGGTTTTTTGAAACAAACTCAAATAAACATAATACGTGATAGTTGATTGAATCACTGAAATCGTTGATTGGGACTTAAGTCTTCGTTCATGGTCTGCCGATTGGTGACTTTTACAGTTTTTTGCTCTTACATTATCAATTATACCATAGTAAAGTTTGACTGTTTTTTCAGATTTGTTACTTCAGAAAATCTGTACTTAAAAAATTACGTGTTTTGGGGAAATAACACGATGAAGGAAATTTTGGGCCATATTATACTGTTCAAGAGAGTGTCTCTCTGCAACAGAGGTAACAGTCAAAAGGAAGTTTTTATGTCAGAGATGAAACGGCTGCTCTTTAATCAAATCGTACTTAACAGTGAAATAGTCAAAATAGGTGATTATCGATCAGTGGCACACTTTGATCTTTTTCAAGTAGTTACGGTAACTTTTCGCCCCGTTACAAAAAACTGCACTGTCACTAGTGGACACCGAAAGAAAGGCCGGTATTGTTCTAGCCATTTGCTTCCTCGGTCCTTAAATGAAACGTTCACATCTTTTTGCCTCCATTGGCACAGGGCTTTGAGGACAGCATTTTACGTAATATTTCGGTCACACGTCTTCTGTGCATGCTTTCTGCTTATATTTGTTCAAAACTTTGAGCAAACTTCGTTTGAATCTGTAGACAGGGTTTGTTTTGCGTCATTACAAGTTATGGAGGGTACATTCTTGTTCTATCATAAGCTGAAATGAAGTTGACATTAAGTTTCGTGGTTACAAGTAGATCGTAGGTGAACTCAACTGACAGGGATAGATTAAAGGTATCGTCGGACTGTGTTTCTGTCGTAAAAACTCAGTTTTGGTAGGATTGCTTGCTCACCACTGGAGGAAGAAAAGAAAGTTTTTTTACATCAATTTTGCAGAAGGGGCTTGGCGAAATCGTCATTTACATTTGAACCTTTTGTCGATCGGGACCCGAAGAGTCTCAGTGTTCGAGATCGTCTTTGCTTTGTATCTTTTCCTTTGATATCTTCGTTCCAAGCGTGTCTGTCACTCAACTCAAAATTTACCTTATATTTCCTGAACATCATTCCTTTTTTCTTTTTGGGAAACTCTTTTGCGGCACCGTCTTCCGGGTCTTGCACTCCTTCGCTTTGAGGGTTGCCACAAGAGATCTCACAATTCTCTTTGACGATATCCAAGTCGCTGAAATCGAAGAAAGTATTTCTTTCCAAGAAATAAGTACCCTTTAGGTTTTCAACTTTGTTTTTCTTCAAAGGGTGCGCTCTGACCCAATTATTTGCTCTCTGAACTGTGTTCATCCACAGGCCGTGAAGAAAGAGCTGGAAAAGGAGCGACGCCCTGTGTAAATCATCCGCCATGCTCATTCGTTTTACTCAGTGCTGAATCCGTCGTGCATGCGTAACAAACGTATTTTCATGACGTACCAGCAAATAAACGATTTACTGCGCGTGCATGTATGGGCCCCGTGCTGAAAAGAGGAATTCCAGTCTCGAGTATCTCTTTAAGCAATAGACCGCACTTTCTTTCCGTTTGCCATCGTAATAGCCCACGCAAGATGTTTTGAGAACACGAGAAAAGTTTTTAAATCATACGTAAGCCAAAGGTAAGTGATTTTAAAAGATTTTCGAGTGTTTACAGACACTGTCGACATCCAAACTCCTTTATTTCACGGGAAAGTCATAACCCAGGTACTTGAATTTATGTGCTCGTCAGCTAATGAGCAGATAGTTCAAAACATGAAACAATTTACGACTACAGTGCGATTGAAACAGCAGTAAAAAGCAGAGCTAGACGAGAGGAAAACATTAGAGCCTCGACGGCGCTCAAATCCCCCCGTGTCTCCACCCCCCGAATGCATAAACCGGACGCGGATGTCTCCCCCTAATGCCACGAGGCTTGATTGTTTCTACTGGCTCAACTGGATATTAAAGGGACTCGAAGTGACACTAACGTAGCTGTAAGGCTCCAGGGACAATATTTTAATCCTTTATTATTTTGGTCATAATGTGTGCGAACGACTTGACTGTAGTGAAAGGAATGTCAGTTATTAAATCTTTTCTCTGTCTCACTGAGCATCTTCTCTTAAAGGCGACCATAGGATGGAGGTACCAGAGAGATCTTCATCAACGTATTGGAAATGGCACTAACAAAAAGAATCTAGGTACAGCCAAATATGGACAACTTTACCTTTATTGAACCTAATCTGTAAACAAATATTTTTTTTTTGTCAAAGATATTATTACTGACATGAACTATAGGACGCTTTTTGAACATTTGTGTCAAATTATTTGCACTGCATTTAAGTTAATGTGTTATAATGAAAATTACTCTGCAGAAATTTTAAATCGGTTCATCCAATTCATATTTCCTCTGGGATTTTGCTTCACTGCTTAAAACCGTCTCTTTTCGTCCCTTTCTTCACGGAGTAGACGTACTTTTTCCTGAAAATAATCAAAAGCGTGAACGTAAATCGTAATTGTGCTTGTAATAAGTAAAAGAAATCGCATGATGTGGATGCATTTCATAATCTACTGACCCGAGTGTTGTTTATGAAGTTAAATAACACCAAGTAATAGTAGTTATCGTAACAGTAGTAGCACTCGCCGTGGAGCAATCTGAAAAGATCTTTTAACATAACAGTGAACTCAGACCACAAGAAAGATTCACGGGCAGTTCTAATGATACTTTATTCTTTAAAGGGGGTCCTCCAGCATATTACTCGGAAAACATTTCATTCAGCCTTAAGGCACTTTTCAACTACACGTGTAGTTTAGCAATGTGGTTTTCTCTTCTTCTCGTAAGACTGACCCAACCCAGACTTGTAACCATCTGTTCGGTAGACAAATGTGCAGTATTCAAGACTATTCTACCACCTCGTCTTTGTAGGCATTCTAGGTATTCTAGGCCTTTTTCATTCCCTCTACCACATCCATGGAAAACAGCACCACAATAATCCAAAATTGGACTAAAACGAAATTGGTTAAAACAACTTTTAAAATGCGAGTGGGTAATAACTAGTTTTTTTCTTGTTTTTATGCGTTTCAGTAAGTTCCTGCCTAAACCATCCGCTCAAAGGAACGTAAACTTGTTATCCTTATATGATAACGAGAAGTCTGTTTCTGGTTTTGAGAGAGAAGCTGTAGCCCTGAGCCGTTCGGCATGCGAGGGATCAGGGTCCAAAGATAACAATGAGTGGATAAATTTTCTAACAAGACGAGTTGTACTGAATTGAGATTTATGGTCACTTCGCCTAAAAGAATTTTTTAAGTGAAAGTTTTGAATATATAAATATATCATGAGGGTTTCAATGGGGATAACCGTTAGCCGTAAAAAGGCAAACAAATTTAGCCGTCAGGCATAAAGATTGACATATTTTGACGGTAGCCGCAAAATGGAAAAAAATGTAACCGTTAGCCGTAAAAGCTATTACCCTATTGAGACACTTATCAAACAATGTTTGACACTTTCTTGCACACATGAATACCAGTAGAGTATAACATAGACACTTCCACGGACCCAGCTTAGCCCAAAATGTATGTAATTATTTCGTAGATTTGATTGAGTATTTCATGGAAATTTCCATGGCCCTGTTTTTGACAAGAATATTCTCTGATATTTTGAAAACTTGAATGACTATTACATGGAAATTTCCATAAACCCGTTTTGGAAAAGAATTCCTTACGCGCTTTTTTTTTTTTTTTTTTTCTCAAGAGTCAGTATTACATAGAAAATTCAATACACCCATTTTAGCCGAAAAAAGGTGGTTTTTGTTTTCTTTTTTGCATGAAATAGTATTACATAGATATTTCCATGTATCCGTTTTGGGTTAGAGATGTTTGATACTGCTTTGTATACGTGAATGAGTATTACGTGGAAATTTCCATGGATCGTTTTGGTGAGGCGCTATCACATTGAAATCGTAAAAGTATACTACATACAAATTTCCATGTACCCGCGTTTAAATTGTATTAGAATGTTCGAAGCTACTTTTTGTACGCGTAAATGAGTATTACATGAATATTTCCAAGTACCCGTTTTGATTAAGAATGTTTGATCATCAAACATTGGCCAAAACACTCTTTGCCAAGAGTGTTTGATTCTATTATTTTAACGTGTAAACGGCTATTACATGGAAGTTTCCATGTACTCGTTTAATTTGTTCAATAATGATTCATATTATTTTGTATGCGTGAAAAAGTATTACATGGAAATTACCATGGATCTTTTTGGTGTGGCACTATTATATTGAGATCGTAAATACTGCTGACAAGTTTTCCTCTATCAAAAACTCGTCGACTTTTTTAATAGCTTAGTGGACCATTTGAGAGATATATGTGTTGCTGTTTGCGCGAGTTATCATAATATTAGAGCGCCAATCACTACCTATAACTGGAAAAGTAGACGCTACCACACTCATTTTTTACTGTTAAGCAACAGGTTGACTGAAAAAATGAAAATGTTTTGAATAAACTGAAATAAACATAATTCGTGATAGCCGATCGAATCATTGAAACCGTTGATTGAGCCTTAAGTCTTCGTTGATAGTCTGCCGATTGGTGACTTTTACGGTTTTTGCTTTTACATTATCAATTTTATCATAGCAAAGTTTGACTTTCTTCCAGATTTGTTACTTCAGAAAATCTATTCTTAATAAATTACGTGTTTTGGAGAAATAACACGATGAAGGAAATTTTGGGCTATATTATATTGTTCAAGAGAGTGTGTTTACTGCAACAGAGGTAACAGTCAAAGGAAGTTTTAATGTCAGAAATGAAATAGCTGGCCTTAAGTCAAATCGTAGTTAACAGTGAAAAAGTCATAATATGTAATCATCGATCAGTGGCACACTTTCATCTTTTTCAAGTAGCTAAGGTAACTTTTCGCCCCGTTACAAAAAAACTGCACTGTCACTTGTGGACACCGAAAGGAAGACCGGTATTGTTCTAGCCTTTGGCTTCCTCGGCCCTTAAATGAAACGTTAACAGCTCTTTGCCTCCATTGGCACAGGGCTTTGAGGACAGCATTTTATTTAATATTTCGGTCACACTACTTCAGTGCATACTTTCTGCTTTTATTTGTTCAAAACTTTGTTCAAACTTCATTTGAATCTGTAGACAGGGTTTGTTTTGCGTCATTACAAGTTATGGAGGGTACATTAATGGGGGGTATCATAAGCTGAAATGAAGTTGACTTTAAGTTTCGTGGTTACAAGTAGATCGTAGGTGAACTCAACAGGGATGGATTAAAGGTATCGTCGGACTGTGTTTCTGGTCATAAAAATTCAGTTTTGGTGGTATTGCTTGCTCACCACTGGAGGAAGAGAAGAAAGCTTGTTTACATCAATTTTGCAGAAGCGGCCTGGTGAAATCGTCATTTACATTTGAACCTTTGGTCGATCGGGACCCGAAGATTCTCAGTGTTCGAGATCGTCTTTGCTTTGTATCTTTTCCTTTGATGTCTTCGTCCCAAGCGTGTCTGTCATTCACCTCAAAATTGACCTTATATTTCCTGAACATCATTCCTTTTTTCTTTTTGGGAAACTCTTTTGCGGCACCGTCTTTCGGGTCTTGCACTCCTTCGCTTTGAGGGTTGCCACAAGAGATCTTACAATTCACTTTGCCGATTTCCAAGTCGCTTAAATCGAAGAAAGTATTTCTTTCCGAGAAGTAAGTACCCTTGAGGTTTTCAACTTTGTTTTTCTTCAAAGGGTGAGCTCTGATCCAATTATTTGCGCTCTGAACTGTGTTCATCCACAGGCCGTGAAGAAAGAGCTGGAAAAGGAGCGACGCTCTGTGTAAATCATCAGCCATGCTCATTCGTTTTACTCAGTGCTGAATCCGTCGTGCATGCGTAACAAACGTATTTTCATGACGTACCAGCACATAAACGATTTACTGCGCGTGCATGTATGGGCCTCGCGCTGAAAAGAGGAATTCGAGTCTCGAGTATCTCTTTAAGCAATAGACCGCACTTTCTTTCCGTTTGCCATTGTAATTACCCACGCAAGATGTTTTGAGAACACGAGAAAAGTTAGTAAACCAGGCGTAAGCCAAAGGTAAGTGATTTTAAAAGATTTTCGAGTGTTCACAGACACTGTCCACATCCAAACTCCTTTATTTCACGAGAAAATCATAAAACAGGTACTTGAATTTATGTGCTCGTCAGCTAATGAGCAGATAGTTCAAAAGATGAAATAATTACCAAGAACAGTGAGATTGAAACAGCAGTAAAAAGCAGAGCTAGACAAGAGGAAAACATTAGAGCCTCGACGGCGCTCAAATCCCCCCGTGTCTCCACCCCCCGAATGTATCAACCGGACGCGGATGTCTCCGCCTAATACCACGAGGCTTGATTGTTTCTACTGGCTCAACTGGATATAAAGGGACTCGAAGTCACACTAACGTAGCTGTAAGGCTCCAGGGACAATATTTTAATCCTTTTATTATTTTGTTCATAATGTCTGCGAACGTTGTGTTCAAGACTATTCTACCACCTCGTCTTTGTAGGCATTCTAGGTATTCTAGGCCTTTTTCATTCCCTCTACCACATCCATGGAAAACAGCACCACAATAATCCAAAATTGGACTAAAACGAAATTGGTTAAAACAACTTTTAGAATGCTAGTGGGTAATAACTAGTTTTTTTCTTGTTTTTATGCGTTTCAGTAAGTTCCTGCCTAAACCATCCGCTCAAAGGAACGTAAACTTATTATCCTTATATGATAACGAGAAGCCTGTTTCTGGTTTTTAGGAGAGAAGCTGTAGCCCTGAGCCGTACGGCATGTAAGGGATCAGGGTCCAAAGATAACAATGAGTGGATAAATTTTCTAACAAAACGAGTTGTACTGAATTGAGATTTATGGTCACTTCGCCAAAAAGAATCTTTAAAGTGAAAATTTTGAATATATAAATATATCATGAGGGTTTCAATGGGGATAACTGTTAGCCGTAAAAGCCATTACCCTATTGAGACACTTATCAAAGAATTCCTTAACTGGCGTGATCTGTTGTAGGACAGTGAAAAGCGGCGCCAGAAAAGGGAAAAAGAACTTGCCGACGATGAACAAAAGATGGCCAACGAACAATTCATAAAAGTATGTTTCTACATTGTTGCATGAACTGCAAGAAAAAGAAATTCCTTTCTCGCTCATATCCTGTCGCCAAATTAACGATTTCTTGCTTTTTCGTTTTCCGAAAAGTATGCTACTGAAACATACAGAATGTGTTTCACGATACGTGTGGTCCTTTTTAAACCAGTTAACCCCTTAGAATGGTTAGTTAAATAATCACCAACTTAAAAAGCTCTTGGTTCGTAGACAAATTATCCTTATAGTACCATAGAAATCTCCTAGAGCACGGAATGCACAATATGCATACCTATATTCAAATAGTAAAGCTGCTTCTGGCGAATGAGCTCCAGCCCTCTGCCGTGATTATTTTAAACTTCTCGTCTCGTTTACTTATTTTTCGCTGATTCAGTCATTTCGCTTCTTTGTTTGAATGTTTGATGTATCTCTTCTCTTCCACAGATTCGCCGTGCTCGACTTAAAGAGTTGTTAACAGAGGAAAATATTCAATACGAGAAAGAGCTCAATGGTTTTGGAAAAGCGTTCTACAAGAACAGAACTTAAGCCTACTTTAGCGTTGTTAAAAATATTCTGCGCAGCTTTGGCTTATAAGTTAGACCTATCATCAATCGTCTTATTTCTACATGTCATTAGATCATTAGATACCTTCCAAGTAAATAACCGAGATTTTTCTCTCACCCGTAAGACGAAAACGAACCAGAGTATTATGGTTTATTGAGAATCTTAACGGTCAAATCCAGAGGTCAACATATCTCCGAAGGGCTTCCTTGCGAAAAGACTATTAACCGACTGTTCCTCCCTCATCAAAGAGCGACACCTCTTCAATATGCAACAAGAAGCAGACGAGAGGTTGTTTCTCTGGCGTGAAGTGTGACCCAGCCCCTTCTCGTCATTCCACACTATGTGTTTGCCCACCCCCCTCCTCCCTTACGTTATTAGGACCGTGCGGAAAAAAATAATACCGTTGGTAATCGATTGAGAATGGCTTCTTTATCTGACTTTCGCTGCAGGTTGTGTTACATGATTGCATGATTGACAGCCAGGTTTCCTTCTGCTGCTGATTAAATAAAGTCCCCATGAATAAAGGATTGTCAAGTGCCAAATGCATTGGGCAGGAAAGGGGAGGAGGGTTGTACTACTGATGCTTGACCAGACCAGACCACTCTGCACCACTAACGGATGTATCGAGATGCAGCAGAGGAGATAGCAAGGTTCTACAAACATGGGCATATGCAGTGTCATGAGTATTAGTAGATACCACACTAATAAATAACGCTTTTCGAACACCTTGATTGGCTAGTTTGGAAGTGAATAACAAGCACTTTTCACCTCCAAGCTGAAGATGAGACAAAATTGGGCATAAGGAGTAAAATTTCTGACCATTTTTTTTTGTAAAGGAAAGAAATAAACTGATATTTTGGTATCTTTGTGATATAAAACATTACAACTATACACCTCAATGTTGGTGAATAATTGGTAAATATAAAGTACACCATATACAACTGCAGCAAACATAATCCTAATGACAGTTTCTACCTGACTTATAAGACAATACACAACCTTTATTTACCTTGTTTGTCTGCCCATTTTAATGTCTCCAACATACCAACTTAATTGTCTTTTAAACAAAACATGATTTTACAATCTAAAAGTTTTTTTTATTTTTCCTGGTACAGTTGGTTTAACCATGTTGGTATTTTTCTGTTTTTAAACTTCCTTGTACTCAATAAGTACCAAAAATTGAAAATATTCCTAAATAGATCAACCAAATCTCTGGGTACTTTGTACCTTCCATCATGCATTTAAGTGACCAAAAAAGAAAAAAAAATCAAAATACTTGCCCATAGATTAACTCTACCAAGTTGTTTTATGTGGAAACTCAATTTTCAACTTTTCAACCTAAGGTCTTCGTGAAATATCGAAAAATAGTTATTAATATATAAATACATTTTTGTTTCCAAACTCACTTGTACTTAGTAAGTATCAAAAATTGAAAATATTCCTAAAAATATCAACCAAATCTCTGGGTACTTTGCACCTTCCATCATAAGTCTAAGTGACCCAAAAGAAAAAAATTTAAAATTTTTGCCCATGGGTTAACTCTACCAAGTTGTTTTATGTGAAAACTCAATTTTCAACTTTTCCACCCTAAGATCTTCATTAAATATTGAGAAATATATTGTAATGTATAAAATACTTTTAACCACTCTAAAATGATCAAAGCAGCTTCTGAGTGGAAGACAGTAGACTATGAACAATCCTTCTTTTTCCCTTTTTTATGGTAAGTCGAAAAAAAAAATTAAAAAATTTAAGGCATGCATCTCACGTCCAAAGTTCCAAGTGCTACCCCAACATCAATTATTTGCACAATGGATTTCCTAAAAAGGAGGAACTGATTATAGTTTAGGATGATGGTGGTTCATTCAATCAGTGTCCACATCAAGCCTTCGATATTGACTCTTATAGGCTAGAAGCAGAGGAACACAAACTGCAATGCCACCTACACTAACCCAGTTCATCCATTGGACATTAGACATGGGAAACATGAAGGCTGCATCAAACACAAATATCACTGTATTACCCAGAACAAGGCCTATGCCGGCAGATGTCCCTTCCCCCACAGGGTAAACACACTCCATAATAAGCTCAAACAGAAGTGGAATTGTACAGTTAAACAACAACCCACTGCAGATAATTGAAGCAAATAAAAGCTCCTGGGAAAAGGGCAAGATTCGTGAACAGGTCAGAGTGAAGATCAGCTGCATTATAGTGGTGCCAGTGAAAAGACCCACAAGGATTTCCTTAGTCCACCACTTTACGATATCTGCCGACCTGACAACAAAGGAAAGAGACTTGTGACAAAAGATAACCAATTGTAATAATTAACTTCTTTGTTACCGACTTAGTTACTACCCAAGAACCGTACAAAAATGACCAAGGGCCAATATTACCCTGTACAGCTAGAGCAAACGAGATAAGGAAGTATCTAATTATATGACACAAGTAGCAAACTTGTTTCTTTTGAATTTTCTGGCTTTTAACAACAAATGTAGAAGGCTTATGACTGTTTCCTGGCTTATATTTGGTCCAAATGAAAAAATCCCAACCAAGTAAAAACCACTCAGAATGTTCAGATTCACCTCAGAACTCTCTTGCCATATTATGATAAGCATTATAAACCTTTGGGTTAACTCCCAGAAGTGATTAACATGTAACTTCTCCCTATGAGATCCATACATATTCTAGCAAACAGTTAATGAGAATACTAAAACTCATCAGGAAGAAGTTTTTATCTTGATCTTTCACCATATTCTTGTAACTAATTCACAGGGAATTGTGTAGCAGCAAGAGGGGAGAATTAACAATCAGACCTTGGAGTTAGAGGGTTAAACATAAAGAGATCCTAACCCTCCTGTTGTATCATTAAAAAAGTGATAAGGGGTGAAAATCTTCAAGGGAGTGCAAGATTTCTTTTCTTTATCAACCTAAGATTAAAAATATTTCTTCAAAATTTACTAGGACTTTTTTTTTGGCTTTTACTCTACTAGCCTTTCACCCCTTCCCACCCCGATCACACTTGCTACTGGTTCTATCCCTTACCATATGGTATTTGAACCTAGTCTAATGCAAGTCTCTTACTGAGAGGATGCATGGCAGCATGGAATGTAAAGGTTGTTATATGCTCAACTCACAATGTAGTATTTTAACAGATTATGAGGGTTTTTCCTGAAATGTGTCTTTTTGTTTATATGTTGAGAAAGAAAAGGCAAAATCATGGACAATCTTTAAAGTTTGTAGAAAATGCAGTACAAGGAAACATGTAACAGTGTTGTGGTGTGGTAGGGTTGAAAGGATTGAGATTAGCAAATAGCAGAACCAGAATAACCTGTAAATAATAAAATATAACCTTACAAAAACAAGGTTTTTACCTTGCAATAATAATTCCAGAAACAATTCCAGCTAAACTTCCACCAGTTCCCAGCAATCCAGAAGTTTTCTCATCAATTTTAAAAGGCTGAACAGCAAGGTCTAAAACTGATGACCAACCAAAATAGATGCCAAATGATGCTGCAAAAACAAAGATCAACAACCAATAGGACCAATTGGTTATCAGCATTTTTATTCCTTCTACATATCCAATTTTGGTTTGTTTTCTTGTTAATTGTGTTATACTTGGAGGAAGAGGTGGTTTAGAAGGAAAATAGATGAAAACACACAAAAAAAGAAATGCTGCAATTTCAATCTGTACATAGAAGTAATCCATGAGTCTGCCCTCAATGAACTTAACATCCTTGTCTGTCAAATTATGCTTGTTACCCTCAAAGGTATCATTTGTCTCAGGTATCATTGTGGGTCCAATAAAGAAAGCCAGAGCAGCTCCGAAATTAGCAGCCAGGGCACCAATGGCTGTAGCAGTTGTGCGTTCATTTGGAGGAAACCAAGCTGTTGACACCAAGGGTGGGGCTCCATTTGGTATAAAGCTTGGCAGCATTGCTATAAGATGGCCAATGAAAATTACAACAGTTCTTACTGTGAGGTCTTGAAAAGGAATCACTTGAATTACTTTTCCAACCAGAAGCATTGCAGATGTGACCTGAACAGATAACCTTAATCCTGCAAAGAAGGAAGACATAATAACAATCAAATTTGATAAAATAATGAATTGAACAGAATTAACAGAAATGCATTTAGGGGAATGTACTTTTCACAAGGCTTAAACCTTTGTCCTGACTTAGAGTGACTGGCACCTAATTTTTCCTTTTAATATTATCACCCCAAATCGTACATTAAGGTCACAAGAATAAGGAAAATTGATCACCAACTAAGGAAGCTCTCTACAATAAAACATATTCTCGTTGTCAGCACCTTAAGAGATGTATGTAGAAAAGTAAGGAGAATATGTATACTGATGTTAGGGTGTAAAGGGTTTAAGAACTGCTAAAAAAGAAATGTAACACTTGAGGTAGAGGAACAAATTTTCTACAATGAAAATAATTTGTGGAGAGTTGAGAGAGAGAACCTGAAATGGTCTAGGCCCCCTTTTTTCTTAAGCCTGTCAACTTCTCATTCAACATTAGTTCAATTAGGTTCTTTTGTCCAGAAAATGCCAATACATGGATGACTTGGAGACCTGTGTTGAGAATCAATAAAATCCTCATCTGATCAAAATCAATAAATATGAAAAGAAATTTAAATAATTATTTTGCTGAGTAACAAAACTGATATGGGGATTCCCTGAGAATAATTAATATTTTCCTATTTGCCAATAACAAGCATCAATTTTACAAAAATTATCACAATGACAGTAGAGATACATAAAAGGTTTGAAAAGGAAAGACAGATGCTGTTTTTAAAGGACTCCTACTGATACCAATGTCATTACACTGACCAGGCCATCCTGCGGTATTCTTTGATGTGAGGGTTAGTCACCCTAATTCTGACTCATAACGGAACATGGAACCCCAACAGGTCTATCAAATACATGAGAAAGAGAAGAAGCACTAGTATTCTGGAAGAGTACTTGATGTGGAACAGGGAACATTCACCCCACTGGTTTTTATGACAATGGGTGAGATGGGGAAAGAATGCCTCAGGTTTCATTGTAGATTACTGGTAGCAGAGCTCATTGCCTCATAGAAAGAAGAGCAATATTCCACAGCCATCTCCTGGGTAACAGCTCAAGTTTCATTTGTGCTTTTGCAATCTGCTCTTTTCAGTTTAAGAGGCTCCAGGAACATTAAAAAAGTTCAGCGTGACATTAAGAACAATGACATTGATATTAACATTTTTGAGGGAGCCATACACTTTCACAAACTTGAGGACAAAACTCTTTTAAACTCGGTTATGTACTCACCAAAATTGTCACAGAAGTAAATGAGCAATGAATGAGTTGCCAGTAATCGGATCCTTGTCTTATATTCCTTTAAAGCGAGTTACAATGTTCGCCCCGTGGCAATCCCAGAACTCTTTTCGCAAACGCAAGGATCCAATTACTGGCAACTTATGCCCTCTTCAAACATTACGAAAGGGATTCTAACATTCATAAATACATTAAATCCTTCCACAGTTTAAGCGGCCATATTGGTTGGGGGTCAAACAAAACCTCTTTGCTAAGCAACGAGCCATAGAATCTCTTATGATAATAAGACTTGCATCGCAACCCTCGTTTAATTTTTGCTTTGTTCAGGAACAAGAATCAATATCCATCACTAAAAAAGATAAGACATTGATAAATGTGAGTGACATTTTTTTTCTCTAGGCGAAAAACTTTTTCTTATCTGCGTTTTATGGGAACACTGGGATCGTTTTCTTAGAACGTGACCTCGCGGCTGGTATAATGCCAGAAGGTCACAGTACTGCTTTTTCGAAAGACTCTTTGTAATTAAGTAACTTAATTGGGCAGAGGAAAAATTGAAATAAATATGTTTACATGCTCTTAAAACTTTTTCGTCCAGACAGGCTAACATACTATTGAAAAACAATTAACTCGGCAAAGAGAAACCCTTGGCTAAATGGGTTTTGGAGATAAGTGTTGTGTCGGCGGCTCTAACAACGACAGAAGATATCCGAAAGAATGGGTCATCCACTCGCATGTAGAGAAGCTATCGTTCCACAAGCCCAAGCAATCGTTGATTGAAGCATGGTCTCGACAGGTTCAGAAGGGAACAAAAGATTTCTTAATAGGAAAGTCAAGGGAGAGTGTTGTCGCCTGCTCTAATCATTTTCGAGACAGGAAGCCTTCTGTAAGCAACCCTATACCTACTCTTTTTTTGATTCCTTTTGAGCATTCAAATAGTAAGTCACCCAAAAAGCGGCGTCGATTAAAGTATCAAAAGAAGACTGCAACGTCAGTTGTAACCAAGTCAGGTTTTGTTTGACCCCCAAACAATATGGCCGCTATAAACCGTGGAAGGATCTAATAAACATAATTTTCAGCTTTTATGTCGGGTTAGTCTTGCTTGGCATTTCGATTATTTTCCCCTATTATCTCAAAATTAAATATCTTGTTCCTTGGTAAACGATGAAAGGATTATAACACCTCTACATGTGGGCGCAAGATTGTAAACAATTCATACGAAAACACAGGTTTGCAACTTCTTGACCGCTGAAGGGTTTCTTCTATTGAATTTTTAATTGCATATAATTTAAGGAGCAAAATACCTTTCGTATCCATCAGCCACGTTGAAGGAAAAGCACCCATGATAGGACCGATCGCTCCCAGCGACGACAGCAATAGAACTGTCCATTTTTCCCAACCGAACACAAGCCGACATGATCTTTGGATAGGACCCCAAGTGTTCCACATCATGTTCGATACCATCGAGGTCACCGTGAACACGAAAAGCACATACCATCGCCTCTTGTATACTTTGCATGTCCTTTCGTTCGATGATGATATTTCTTTGTTTTCAATATCCGTCTGCCTATCAGGACTGACAATATTATCATCGTGCAAAAGCCTCTTGCTTTCGCTGTCCTCCATTTTTGCACACCCGGTGATTTGTTTTTTCTCGCGCAAGTAACAAAAATGTTCCCTTCCCTGTCCCCATCCAATCGCACTTCAACCAGTCGGGGGAGGTGAGTATAAAATTGTAAATAAATCATCAGAAGGCTTGGTTACTCAATTGAGCCTGGTATCTAAGCTCCTTCAGGAAGTGATCCCCAAAAAAATTTCTGCCGGTGGGGAATCTCGTTCCAAGAGGCCACGCTCCCCTGATCCCACGCAGGGCAGGCGGTGTGCGCACTCTAATTGCGTTGCATCATGGTCGTAAAACCAAAACTAAGTCATTTGCATCCTGTCGTGGTCGAGTGAACATCTCTGATAGCAGCAAGATCGCGTGAATAAACGTTGAATTTAATGGAACTTCATTGTCTGCTGCCGTTCCTTCGAAAGTTAAAAAGTGTTTGCGGGCCTGTGCGACTCCTGTAATTCCTCCTTGACAAATCCGTTGTTAGGAGGCAATTGAAGAGATTCAGAAAGAATCGAAACTGCAGTTTTGCCCGAGAATCTATTTATTTGACAGCAGTTATGTATTTATGTTATGCAAGTTATGTATTTTCCGTGCCATAGTGCGGTTACTGAATTCCTGAAGGAATTGAAAAGTAGCGAGTAAGTCACAGTTATCTCCAGTTAAAACAACTTTTAGGAATACCAATGGGTAATAACTAGTTTGTTTCTAGTTTTTATGTGTTTCAGTAAATTCCTGCCTAAAACCATCCGTTCAACTTAACATAAATTCGTTATCCGTATATGATAACGAGAGGCCTGTTTCTTGTTTTAGGAGAGAAGCTGTAGCCGTGAACCGTTTGGCATGCGAGGGGTCAGGGTCCAAAGATAACGACGGGTATATATATTTCCTAGCAAGACGAGTTGTACCGGATGGAGATTTAGGATCACTTCGTCGAAAGACTTGTTTTAGTGAAAGTTTTTAATTTATCAATATATCTATAGGGTTTCAATGGGGTTAAACGTTAGCCGTAAAAAGGCCAACAAATTTAGACGTCATGCAAAAAGATTGACAAATTTTTATCGTCCGTTCTTTGGGAAGAAATTTACCGTTAGCTGTAAAAGCCATTACCCTATTGAGACACATGTGTTGGAATGTTTGATACTTCTTGTTGCACACATGGATATCAGAAGAGTATAACATAGACGCTTCCACGGACCCACTTTAGCGTAAAATGTTTGTAATTATTTCGTAGAAGTGATTGAATATTTAATGGAAATTTCCACGTATCCGCGTTTATATTGTTTAAGAATGTTTGAAACTATTTTTTTTTACGCGCAAATGAGTATTACATAGATATTACCATGTAACCGTTTTGGCTAGAAATGTTTGATACTGTTTTGTATACGTGAATAAGTATTACGAGGAAAATTTCCATGGATCATCTTGGTAAGGCGCTATCACATTGAAATCGTAAAAGTATATTACATAGAAATTTCCATGTACCTGCGTTTAAATTGTTCATAGATGTTTGAAGCAACTTCTTAGCACGGGTAAATGAGTATTACATGGATATTTCCATGTACCCGTTTTGATCAAGAATGTTTGAAACTACTATTTTTCACGCGTAAATGAGTATTAATGGATATTTCCATGTACCCGTTTTGGTACTGTTTTGTCTACGTGAATGAGCATTATCTGTACATGGAAAATTCCTTGGACTCGTTTTGGCCAAGGGTGTTTGAAACGATTTTTTACGCGTAAATGGTTTTACATGGAAATTACCATGGATCTTTTTGGTGAGGCACTATTATATTGAGATCGTAAATACCGCTGACAAGTTTTCCTCTCTCAAAAATTCATCGACTTTTTAATAGCTTAGTTGACCATTTGAGAGATATATGTGCTGCAATTTGCGCAAGTTATCTTAATATTAGAGAGCAGTTCACCACCGATGAATGGAAAAGTAGACTCAACCATACTCATTTTTTGCTGTTAAGCAACAGGTTGACAATAAAAAAAATGAAAATGTTTTAAAATAAGCTGAAATAAACATAATTCGTGATGGTCGATTGAATCACTGAAATCGTTGATTGAGCCTTAAGTCTTCGTTCATGGTCTGCCGATTGGTGACTTTTACGGTGTTTTGCTTTTACATGATCATTATACCATACCAAAGTTTGACTTATTTCAGATTTGTTACATCTGGAAATCTGTACTTAAAAAGATTACGTGTTTTGGGGAAATAACACGATTAGGAGATTTTGGGCCATATTTTATAGTTCAAGAAAGTGTCTTTCTGCAACAGAGGTAACAGTCAAAAGGACTTTTTAATGTCAGAGATGGAACAGCTGGTCTTTAATCTAAGAAAAATAGTCATAATATATAATTATCGATCAGTGGCACACTTTCATCTTTTTCAAGTATTTGAGGTAACTTTTCGCCCCGTTACAAAAAACTGCACTGTCACTAGTGGACACCGAAAGAAAGGCCGGTATTGTTCTAGCCTTAGGCTTCCTCGGCCGTTAAATGAAACGTTCACATCCCTTTGCCTCCATTGGCACAGGGCTTTGAGGATGGATTAAAGGTATCGTCGGACTGTGTTTCTGGTCATAAAAATTCAGTTTTGGTGGTATTGCTTGCTCTCCACTGGAGGAAGGAAAGAAAGCTTGTTTACATCAGTTTTGCAGAAGGGGCTTGGCGAAATCGTCATTTACATTTGAACCTTTTGTCGATCGGGACCCGAAGAGTCTCAGCGTTCGAGATCGTCTTTGCTTTGTATCTTTTCCTTTGATATCTTTGTTCCAAGCGTGTCTGTCGCTCAACTCAGAATTGACCTTATATTTCCTGAACATCACTCCTTTTTTCTTTTTGGGAAACTCTTTTGCGGCACCGCCTTTCGGGTCTTGAACTCCTTCGCTTTGAGGGTTGCCACAAGAGATCTCACAATTCTCTTTGCCGATTTCCAAGTCGCTGAAATCGAAGAAAGTATTTCTTTCCGAGAAGTAAGTACCCTTTAGGTTTTCAACTTTGTTTTTCTTCAAAGGGTGAGCTCTGACCCAATTATTTGCTCTCTGAATTGTGTTCATCCACAGGCCGTGAAGAAAGAGCTGGAAAAGGAGCGACGCTCTGTGTAAATCATCCGCCATGCTCATTCGTTTTACTCGCTGCTGAATCCGTCGTGCATGCGTAACAAACGTATTTTCATGACGTACCAGCAAATAAACGATTTACTGCGCGTGCATGTATGGGCCTCGCGCTGAAAGACAAGACAAGACAAGACAACTTTATTTTACCAGGGTAGCCCAGTCAGCTGCAAGGCTGGTATCCTTAGGGGCCCTGGGTAAAAAGAGGTGAAAAGAGGAATTCCAGTCTCGAGTATCTCTTTATGCATTAGACCGCACTTTCTTTCCGTTTGCCATCGTAATAACCCACGCAAGATGTTTTGAGAACACGAGAAAAGTTTTTTGCAAATCAGGCGTAAGCCAAAGGTAAGTGATTTTAAAAGATCTTCGAGTGTTCACAGACACTGTCGACATCCAAACTCCTTTATTTAACGAGAAAGTCATAACACAGGTATTTGAATTTATGTGCTCGTCAGCTAATGAGCAGATAGTTCAAAACATGAAACAATTTACAGGTACAGTGCGATTGAAATATTAGTAAAAAAGCAGAGCTAGACAAGAGGAAAACATTAGAGCCTCGACGGCGCTCAAATCCCCCCGTGTCTCCACCCCCGAATGTATCAACTGGACGCGGATGTCTCCGCCTAATGCCACGAGGCTTGATTGTTTCCAATAGCTAAACTGGATATAGAGGGACTCGAAGTCACACTAACGTAGCTGTAAGGCTCCAAGGACAATATTTTAATCCTTTTATTATTTGGGTCATAATGTCTGCCAACGACTTGACTACACTGAAAGGAATGTCAGTTATTAAATCTTTCCTCTATCTCACTGAGCATCTTTTCTTAAAGGCGACCATAGGATGGGGTGCCAAAGAGATCTTCATAAACGTATTGGAAATGGCACTAACAAAAAGAATCTAGGGACAGCCAAATATGGACAACTTTATCTTTATTGAACCTAATCTGTAAACAAAGAGTTTTTTTTTGTCAACGATATTATTACTGACATGAACTATAGAGCGCTTTTTGAACATATGTGTCAAATTATTTGAGTTAATTTAAGTTAATGTGTTATAACGAAAATAGCTCTGCAGACATTTTGAATCGGTTCATCCAACTGATATTTCCTCTGGGATTTTGCTTCACTGCTTAAAACCGTCTCTTTTCATCCCTTTCTTCACGGAGTAAACGTAGTTTTTCCTGAAAATAATCAAAGCGTGAGCGCAAATCGTAATTATGCTTGTAATAAGTAAAAGAAATCGCATGATGCGGATGCATTTCATAATTTACTGACCCGAGTGTTGTTTTGGAAGTTAAATAATATTAAATAATAGTAGTTATCGTAACAGTAGTAGCACTCACCGTGGAGCAATCTGAAAAATCTTTTTACATAACAGTGAACTCAGACCAAAAGAAAAATTCACGGGCAGTTCTAACCATACTTTATTCGTTGAAGGGGTCCTCTAGCATATTACTCAGAAAACATTTCATCAGCTTTGAAAATGCTCGGATGTTTTCTTTAAATTAAAAATGGAAGTGCAAGGGAAGTGCAGATTGATAAGAATGGTGATAATAATGATTATCAACAGTATCATTATTATCATCATTATTATTATTATTGCTATTAAAGTTATAATAGTGATCACAATTTTGATTGGAATTATGACAATTTCTTACTTAAGTTTAAAGGAACTTACTTACCAAGAGTGGTACTTCTCTTTTTCTTCCAAATTCCAATGGCGGAATATAAGGAGGTTGATTTTCTTTTTCCTGAAATTTAATAGCAAGCATTATTCGATGATTAGGCCAACCACGTGATTTGATTTTGTTCAGTTAATTCTACTTTTTCTTTTAATCCATCGCCTGATTTTTATCATGTAGATCCGCAGCCTCCCCCAGCTTGATCTCTATCTGTTGACAACATCATTTTCCTGCTATTACAACAGGATGTATTTCCTCAGAAACTTGATGGGCACATGGTAGGGATGGAGAGGACCTTGGCTCGATTGCCAGCTACTGGTCGGGAATGTGGGCCCGCGCTCTTCTCAGGAAGGAGCGAAGACCGGACACGACTGAGCGACAGAAATCGAGCTTAGAGAGGATCCTGTCCTTTTTCCCGTTATGTCCCTGGTTTTTCTGAAAGTTCTCGCTCAAAAGACTGAAAAGATGGATGGATCTCTCTCTCCTCGAATACTCTTTAAGTTAAATTCGTAGTTTGAACTAAAGGTACTCCTACAATAAACCTATAGAGGTCTGAAGTCTTGAGACATTTAGACATCTTTAACTATCTTTTGAGATTTACTTGCACAAAAGTGCAAAAAAAAAAACATAATTGCTATCATCATTTGAGGCGACGTGTGAAATCCATTTACAGTGTGAACAACATTACAAACTGTTATTTTGGTTACAAAACTGAAAAATGGAAAATGGAAAAAACTGAACATAAAATTGATGAATTTGCTAAAGGATAGAAGAAAATAGACACGAATTGGAAGAGGGGCTAAATTTTTTAAAGACGTGCCAAAAATATGGTAGCTTCTTTGAATCAAAGTAATAAAATTTGCCGTTACCTCAAATCTTTTTACATCTGAATCGACAGATGTATAGCTTAGTCGCCCATTATCTGGATGTGGAGATTCGAGAAGTCCACATACATAGGTGAAACATGAAAACCATACCAGATATTTCATGTCTAACGAGAATCTCTTCTTGTTCTGTGCCACTCTAACTCTCTGAGTATACTTTTTTCAACCACCAGCTTTATATATATTCAGAGGATTCAGCTAATTTTTCCTACGCTGCTAGACATAATGGCTGTCCGCGTGGTCTTCTATTAACTTAACAAGGAAATATATTTTCAATGAAACCTCCAGAACCACTGAAACTTATAAACCACTTCTTACTATAAGTGCTTTCTTTTATTTTGACTGAAGCGGACAAATACAGACTTGATGCAATCAGTTTTAATAACGGACAACTATAATAAGACCTCTACCACGCTGGTGACAAATGAATATGAGTTATTTCTTTATACTAGGTCTCTATTTATTTGATGAACGACATGTTTACAAGATGAGTTTATTTTTTCAACTTCTGTCCTCATTGTTGTGTTAACTTAAAAATGAAAATTTTCATTAAATATAGTAATTTTGGTGGGCAATTCCATTTCCTTTGGATTAAAAAGGAAATCAACTCTAGTGCAGGAAGTGGGCGTTACAACTCAAGAGTGTTCCGGTAGAGTTGTTTCCTGAGAGTAATAATTATTCAACTTTACCTTATTGAAACTAATAAACGATGAAATGGATATGTTTCCGGCGGAGGAAATTTCGAACTTGATGAGCTAAAAGTGACAGTTATGTCGATAATCTAACTAGGACGATGGAGCTTGAGGGAAAGTTCTGTAAATCCACGCAAAAAAAAAAAGAAAACAGACAAACAAACAAACGGCGAATCCAAGTCTGCAAGTTTGAACTTGCCTCAGACTACCACCAATTTTAATTTCTGCTTGGCTTTTTCCTGGCGTTTCGACTCTCCCTTTTTTTGTCTTATAATAAGTAGCCCGATATTCGGCCGTGTCCGATATTTGTTGATTTTCATCGGTTGTAGGACATAAGAACTATCTGTTTAGATCATCTTAAGATACACGTTTGCTCGTAAATATGTTCTGTGAAAAAAAAAAATTCACCAAATTAAGTCCATGACTTGCAGAGGCGATGGTAGCTTTAAAGTAGTAAGGGAGGGAAGGAGGGAGGGAGGGAGGGAGGGAGGGGTTTATTGTATATTAGGCCAAGTACATACCGCATTCATTTTCCGTAAAATTTCTTGCAATGCGAGTTAGTTCGAATAAGGAAATATCTTGGCTATTCACAATAAACCCGCGCAACTCATTTTGAGCTCGATCTTGATGAAAAGATTGTGGGACTGAGTATTTAGCCAAGCTAAAATATTTATCCCGCGTTGACATTTGCAATGGGAGGGGGGGTGGGGGGAGGGTGGACTAGAGGGAGGAAGAGACTGAAACCTCACCCCCTCCCCTACTCCCTTGCTCCGTAGGGTAAGGCTTCAATAATCAATTTGATCAAATAATCAATCACTTAATTGATTATCTAAATATTATCAATGAGGCGGGAAGCTCTTAAAAATAAATGTGGACTTCAAACATTTGGAAGGATGAAATAAACTTTAATCGTGGGAAAGAGTATTTGTGATGGCAGATCAACAAAGGTCAACATTTCCGGTGTAGAGCTAAGCATGTAGTAACTGACTATATTTCTACAACATGAAACCAGTGGGGTTCACTATTAACCCTTAAACTCTTATGAGTGACCAAGAGAGAATTTCTCCTTACAACATCTTTACAACATCAAGCATAGACGTGATGAGAATAAAATAAAATATCAATTAGCGATTATTCATTGATCCAATGCCAAATTCTCCAAACTGACATTATAAGAATTGAATGGCAGACGGTAAGGAGAATTACTAATGAGATCCTGGGAATTAAAGGGTTAACCTGAGAAAAGAGAAGAGAAACGATCCGCTGGGTTTCGTTTAAAAGGGTCTGTGGATACATCTTACGGTTTGCATGTGATATTTCATCCTCCTTACTCGTAATTTCATCCGTATGTGTTTCTTTCGGATACCGAAGGCATTTTCGCCCTTGATTTGATAAGAAAGTCGGAAGGACTGTTTTTTTTGTTTTTTTTTTTGCATTAAAATGCGACAGCAGGCCCTTTTGAAAGTGATATTCTGAGGTTTGCGTCATCCATAGACGGGTGGTCACTGTTTAAAAACAATCTTTGCGTGTTTCGGTTTAACCAGAATGTAAACACAGGTTTTAAGACGTTGCAAAATGTGACTACGTGATTCTTTTGTCTTTAAACTTGCAAGGCCGTTTTAATGTCGGCGTTAACCTTTCCGAAATATCAAACAATGAAACGCTGTCCAACGAAAGAATTAGAGAAAATCCTTACATCAGAGGATTATCGACACAAACTTTTTAATTCTCTGTAATTCAGTGTCTCAAATCAGTGAGGCCTCAAGCTACAGTGTTGAAAATAAGCTTGCAAGCTTTCGCCGATGATATCGCCAACTGATACATGGATCAGACTCACTAGTACAACTATAATGCAACTGATAGGTAACATGCAATTGTTTGTGCCACTGTTTTCTCCATGGCCTAAACTGTACCGAAGCGGAAAACCCTTCACTTCGGAATTTTTTTTTAACAATTTACTCGTTCCGTAGGAATGCTTTACCACACCAACACAAGCAAACATATCCTACGCTTTGTCATCCAATCTACATATTTACAAGAATAGTGTTTGCGCAAAATTTATTGTATGCACTGCTACCGACGCAAAGAATAACTGAAAATCAAATGCTTAATCTCGTTGAGCTGATCAAAAGTTCAACCATACTTGATAAATTCTCTTGTCGTAAAGAACTCAAATTATATAAAGCTATCTCAGATCGTGAGAGAAATTGGCATCCCTCGGTCATAGTTATAGGGAATTATCTCCTAGGTTGAAAAGTGCCTTGTTATATCAGCTCACATTCATTCCAACTCGATATCACTCTCAGAATTGGATTTTATAACAATTCCTCCATCATCCTGGCCGCACGTTTGACCTTCTGATATCTCGTTCAGTTCTAATCCTGCACGGTTTCCATTCTCATCACCGTCGTATTCGTGGGCGTCAACGCATTTTAAGCTTTGGAAATATTCGGCCACAGTACACGCCAGTCGTTTCGCCTCACTTTTTGTCTCGCACAAGAACGCTTGCGTTAAGAAAACCTCGCTTTCTTCTCCCTCGAGATGATGATAATTGAACACCAGAATCTTTCGCCGTTTGCTGTCAACTCCGCAATAAATAATTCGGCTGAAATCATAAACAATCTTCGTACCTTGATCCTCGCCTTCGTTAAAGCAAAGTTCAAAGCAATTGTCCTTGATCTGTAAAGTTTGTTTTGGAAGCAATTTCTGCTTCAGTTTCGCCTTACAGTTCTCAAATATCTCCTCAACAGAACCGCAAATTCCTTCGCCAATAGGGCACAATATCTGCACGCTTCCGAGGTAGATAACTGAAAAATTGTCTTGCCGTTCACGCCTATCTCTTCGCCAAGAGAGGCTTATATTTCGTAGTGTCGAATACGCCATTCTGGTACGCCCAGGAATCAAATTAGAAAGCGAATATTGTCGTGCATTCCCGTGTTCCCACATCTGTAAGCTGAATAGCCTTCCTTAATCTTTAAGTAAATTCCGTCAACTAACGATATCAACTACTTTGACTGAAGTCGATTAACATGCAACGGGAACTGCGCAAACATAGCAGATATGAAAACAAAATATTTGTTTTATGATATTGTTACGAGTGATATATACGTCAATGGGACATTAAAACAGCTCCATCCAATTGGCTGTTTCTCTGTAAGTAAATGTTAAAAAAAAGAATAGTTTATACTCAGCACTGGTAATTATCCTTCGCGGTAATCATTTCAGGAAGCACTACTTCAGTTAGCTATGGTGAATATGGAATGTTGTATTGTTTGCGCGCTAACAATCTTTCATGCGATCAGTCGACTGGCTTTGCAAGACACCATCTCCTGCTTTGCATCCTAATTACATAATTCAATTTCCTAAAATAAAGAGTTGGTCTTCATGGAATTCTACGTTACGGATATACAAACAAAGGAAAGTTTTGAAAAGCTGTAAGCTTGTATCTATTTATGAATGATATTTTTAGTTCTTTAGCAAAGCTTTAGACCTCTATAATCACGTATAGCCTTTCTTTAATTGGCCCCCTTAAAGAAATACTGCAGCGGAGAAGAATAACAAGGAGTCTTGAATTTTAGATTTTGATAACATCCGGTAGCTCCCAAGGAAAACGCTTAGAGGAAAATGTGGTGATGTATGGTAAATAATACCACAGGCGGCCCAAGCTCCAGCTGTGGGATTATCATCTTGCGAAATAAGAGTCATGGCGAAATTATAAGAGTTTGTATGGGAATATTTACGACCGCTCTTGGGAATGAAAAAATCAGTCAAATTCTCAATAAAAATAATCACCTTACTTCCACAGTGCATCGCTTGTTATCTGACCGCTTACTATGTTGAAAAGAACCCATTTTAGCGAGTTATCCATTTCTAGGTTTATTGCATAAGATCGGGCGTTCGGAAATGGAGTGTGCAGCCTTAGGCTTCTCTTATGATTTTGCCATGACTCTTATTTATTTCGCAAGATGATCATCTCACAGCTGGAGTTTGGGCCGCCTGTGATAAGACAAGGACAGTGGTACCAAACATAGGCCATACAAAAGACACTGTGCTACATTTTAAGTCTTCTGAGATTTACAGGATGAAAATTGCCGACATGGCGAGTATAAAGCTTAGAATGATATTTTGTTAGGTAAGAATATGGACAGATGTAGGTAAAGAAGATTGAAATGACCGGGTTGAAAACGTTTGTCGAACAAAATAGAATGGAAACATATATCAAAGCATGCGCGATGTGACCTTTAGTACGGTATCTCTCTGAAGCATGGCACCGGAGGGAAAGGGGGCAAGGATGGGGGGGGGGGGTGGAAAGGAGAATGTGGGGGTCTCAATCTTTCTAGATTTACACCTCCTGTGATTAAGCAAATCTATTACGTCGTCCCCCAAATTTGAGATTCATGTAACTTCACAAACGTTCATGTCTGACAATCCAAGAAGTTTCTCAGGGTAAGATTGGTATTTAAGCTGCCTTAAACATAATTCTAAAAGATCTCACAGAGTAACGAATGCTGATGATTTATTTTGACGAATTGTATATTGTACTCGCCCAGCTTTGAAGTTTATAAAAATGTTGTCTTAATCTTAGCCAAAGGATAATTTTACAATTCAAAGCAATTTTACTCGACATTACAATGACAAATCGTTGAATCGTTACTAAAGCATTCGTGTTTTTTTTCTTTCATTAAATCTTAGCCCATCTCTTGAAATAAATTCAGCTTTGAGCTGTCCCATTTTTTCGTTTAACCTCTCCATGGTCTCAAAATAGGATAATCGGTTAAATATATTATCAACAAATTTACGATATCGATAGTTTTATCGTGGTTTTGCCTTTTGAGCGCAGTTCCGTGTTACAAGAAATTGGGTCGAGACGTGTGTTGCACCAAGGGTGAAAACGGGCCTTTAAGACAGAACACATCTTTATTTTCCGCTCAGTAGCTTCGTATTACAAGCTAATGTCAGTAAATAAGCAAGAGAACTATTTTCTCTCGCAGTAGGCTATGAATTTAAAGTGTTTCTGCACTTATATCAGAAACAAGAGGGTAAAATTAATTCTTTAAAACAAGCATGAAGCAAACTAGACGTAAAATGAAAACCTAAAATAAATGAAAATCAGGCTCATAAACTCCTTGCTTTATTCAACGCATGCGCAAGGATCGGGGATCCCCTGATGTCCTGTAAACTAAAAAAAAGTCTAACAGTGATATCCTAATCCATGATTCACTTAAATTTTCTTTCTTTGAGCTAAACAAAGCATTAACTTTTTCAATCTGCACACGAATAATTAAGAAAAAAGTAAATTCATGGGTCCTTGAATGAATAAACTAAAAACTCTAGCCTTCGAAAAAAGTCTAAATTGATTCTAAAATTAGCACAGCATAATACAATAGAAAAATGAATTGATAAATTCAATGCGATTAAGCAATCGAGGTTCAGAACGGTCTAATGAGAGATTTTGTTTACCGTTCCACAACTGTCTACTATCCATAGCATTGAATTATCGGAACCCAATATTGCTATTGGCCATAAATGTTGTTTACTAAATTTTTTTTCTGTGCGTGCACAGCCGATTAGTCTTTACGAGCGCACAGCTTATTTCTGTTGCCTCTCCTTACTTAAGATTATTTCGAGTAACTATATTAACTGTCGTCTAAACATTAAACAAGGTTTTTCGCGGCTATAGACACCACTGAGCTAACCGATTAGTCTTTACGAGCGCACAGCTTATTTCTGTTGCCTATCCCAACTTAAGATTATTTCGAATAACTGAATTACTGTCGTCTATCCGACAAACAAGGTTTTTCGCAGCTGTAAACACTACTGAACTAGTAGTTGAAATAAGAACTGAAAAAAATTCAGGCCCGTGCGGGATTTGAACCCATGACCTCTGCGATACCGATGCAGCGCTCTACCGCAGAGGTCATGGGTTAAAATCCCGTACGAGCCTATAATTTTTTTCACATCTTATTTCAACTACTAGTTCAGTAGTGCTTATAGCTGCGAGGATCTCTTATATTCGTTTCTTCACCGCACTGCACATATATGATTTTCATATATCTACAATCATTATTTAAACAAGGTTTTGTTTTGAATTACCTCGTTGTATTTACGTCTTAAGAGAATGTTTGATACTTCTAACATCTATAACAATATTTGCGGCAACACAAAAGGCGATTGTGAAGAAAATGGCCCAGAAACTAATCTTGAGGTACTTTAACAATAAATGTCGATCTTTTTTATGTCCTCTGCCGTTCGTGAAATCCTTCACCAGCGTTACACCTTTCTTCTTGCAAATTTTCTCCACAGTTTCGGCGATTTCTGGCCTACCCACAAAGTAGCAGCAAGATTTCTTAGTTGTAGACTTGAGGGCTTTTTCAAAATCTATCCTACCTTTAATGAGCTGAAACTGGCTTTCGGCTGCATTTTCTTCGCTCGTTTCTTCCTCTGGACTGGTGACATAAAAGCGGAAGTTTATGGAAGCAACATTCTTCTCTCTGATCTTTTCCAGGAGTTCGTCTATAGGTTTCCGAAGGAAATGGTACAACGCTTTACAGCGGACTGAGTAGAAGATATCGATCCTCTTCTCTTCTCCTATTTCGTTTCCTCTGAGACGCGCTTCTGTTTTGTGGGCTAGACAGCTCAGAACATCTAATACGTAGCCACAGCCAGACCCGGTTGCGAACAGAACGTAGTGAGAAGGCGAGGGCACGTTTGACACCAGCTGGTGGTACAACTTTGAGACAGATGAGCGATAAGGTCCCCAAGTACGGAAAGTGACGTCTCCAGTACTATAGGCGAGCCAATGAGTCCAAGGGAGGCAGAGCTGGTCATCGTCCTCCATAATCGATATCACGAAACCAATGTCCCAGGTTGAATTTTTTGTCATGTTAGCAAAGGTGGTGAAGGGATGAGACCGTTGTGGCGCTATTCCAGTGCTTCCTTTCGGTTGGTGCAGAAGATAGTAAACGTCGCCGACAGTATGTTTCACGTCTTTGTCGAGTTTGACATACAGAATGACGTAATCTTTACCAATGACTTCTTTTTCAACAATGTGACCGTCGTGGCGTCGATAAAAGTAAATGGAGACCAACCTGTCGACGCACCAGATAATGAGTATTGGAAGGTTGGTAACATGGGCCAGTCCGTGAGTGATCTTCCGAATGTTGTCGATAGCGTACCAGATACCGGCAAAGATATGCAGGGCCATTGCCAAAGAGTAGCTTCTTTGATTGGCGTAGTTGGATCTGCTGAGGGGAAAGAAGAAGCAGAAAAGAACGATCATCAGCACAAAACGGTAGATCTCGTCTGAAGTTAGATGAACTCCTTTGTGGTCGTTAAAAGTCCAGCCTTCCACAGCTGCTGGGTCCCAGGGCTTCGTCCAGTTTAAGTGATCCGGAGACGTGCTATAGTTAAAGGTGCTTGGTGGATAATATTTCAGCTCGGTTCCGTCAATTAGGGGTGGTACAAATATTACGAGAACATGGGCAAGGGACGGAACGGCAATCAGGAATATCCCAGCAAAAGTATGCATTCTTGAATGAACCTCGCGGATTCCATCCACAGTGATCCAGTTTGGAGTGACCTCACTGATGAAATTTGGCAAACACCACATCATCGTATAGAACATCAAGTTCTGAGAGGTTATAATCAGTCGAGCAGTGACAGCCCACACCACATTGGTTAAAGTTTCTCCTATGTTGGTTCCCCAGATGCGTTTTGGGAGTTTACCACTTCTTCCGAGCACCACATCACCATTGAATATAAAGTGATCCACGATACACAACGTTGTCACCAGCAGAAACACGGCCCAGACTATAGCTTCGTATGAAATGGAAAATCGCTTCCAACGTTGGCGGACGAGAGAGGTGGTCTTGTTGAAGGTCACCACTTGATCCTCTTGACCGTCGGGAACTTCAATGAAAAATCCAGGTGACTGTTTTGAACTTTCGCCCCTTTTTGAAGGTTGCTCTGTTTCTTCATGGCCGTATTCCACCTCCTTTTAAAATGGAAAATGAAAAAAAACAATAATTAACATGATAAAACTGCGTGTGGTCTGAACGTTACTTCAATGACATGTGCTAGCGAAACGGGTCACTCTTCATCCTACTCAGAAAATATCTGAGAAGACGTTGTAGAATAAAATATTCTTTTATCTTGATTCATGAATAACGCTTGAATCTTTTTTAGCCCCAGACCTGCGCTACACGAAAAGTTTTTCCTCAAAAAAAGTGCAAGGTTGAAGTCTATTCTGAGCTAAGTTTAACGATAATGTCTCTGGAGATTTAAGACATGATTTTATCACAAACTTTGATGAATCCCTTAGAGAGGTTAAATTCTTTCTTTTTTTTTCCATTCTTGACTTTAAAATCACCGATGCTTGTTTGAAGCTTTTAGTACAAGCGTCTCACCTTTAAATCCTCTTTGCCTTTGCCTGGGGTGCTAAGAGGCTGAAAAACTTTTCTTCCTTGTAATTGTGTGTCATCCATCCCACTGCTTCAGACATATAATATATAAATAAATATTTTCCTGTGTTTCTTTTTCTTTTAATCTTTACCGTTGGCAATGAATAATGAAATGATCTCCTCTTACTTACAAGTGAACTAAATTTGGAGAAAATCCCAAGAAAGAAGTGGCCTGAAAATATTCATACACCGACAAGATTCGAACCCGTGGCAGCAGGTGCCCAATTAGTATCTAGGGGGAAACTGAGCCCTGCAACTGCATTTTGAGAGGGAAGTAACTCTGTTGATCGATCTGATTTGAAATAGGCACTTAATCAAACTCTCAGAAGACAAATTGTGACGTGAGGGCAGAGACAAAATTTGACGAAATTTTTAAATTTTCTGAGCTTCGGAAATGATCTCCCGATGGTAACAAAAGTTAAGTCAGAGAAAATCCAGAAAACTCTTACCTGTTCGGTAATTGAGAAGGAGAGCTGTCCTTCAGTGATGCTTCCTTATGTGGATCTGTAGGAATATTTTGAGGTAAAGCAGAAGTCTTAGCTTCCAAGAAATGAGGGAGAAGGACCTATCAATGAGGTTATTGCTGCACTGTACTACGATATAACGGAATCTTCCTTTTAACCCTTTAACTCCCAAGATCTCATAAGTAATTCTCCTTACTGTCTGTCAAATGATTCTCATTATGTTAGTTTGGAGAATTTGGTATCGGATCAATCAGTAATCCCATAACTGATATTTTTCTATATTCTCATTACTTGTCTGCATGATATTTTATAGATATAGTAAGGAGAAATTCTATCTCGGTCACTCACGGTATTCAAAGGGTTAAAGTTCATTTATCGTATGTGGTCGGATTTTCAGGGATACGCATTGACTCAACAGGGAGAGCTAAAGAGCGTCTCTCAGGGTCTGCACGGAACGGAAATGCTTCAGCAAAGTTTGAATGCAGATTTGACTCTCTCGGTTACTACCATGTGCATATCATTTGCCAAGTCAGGTCTAACAAAATAAATTACCAGTTTCAGCATCATGGAGGAACTTTGACCAATTGCAGACTTCAGGATTGTCATGATCGCGGTAAAAACTAAGAATTTCTTCCACTTGTTCATCAGTTAGAAGATCCTGAAATGCATCCGTGAAAACTTTTTTGAAATCACTGGGACTGACATTTCCCGTCCTCAGCGGATCATATTCATGGAAATGGTCTTCTGCCTTTAAATGAAAACTGAATATCAGTGGATGATTCACGTCCCGTAACGAACATGTTGAGCATGCGCGCACATTTACCGGAGCACTGCACTGATATCGCTGAAGTCATGGGCTCAAATCCCGTAAAGGTGAGTTTTTTTTCCAGGCGCTATTTTCACTGCTGCTCAGGTAATGTTCATTACTGCGAAGATTGCTTCATAATCACTACTTTATCCGCAGTTCACATGTACAATTTTCATTTATTTACAGTCATTTATACATCAAATGTTGTTAAGCACGACGACAGAAGCAATCTCAACACGTCAATTGATCAGTACCACTATAACAAGTTGTTAGGGCATACACCCTCAGCCAACTGGATGTTTGAACCAAGTCAATTACTTTGCTTTTTCGTGCTACTAGACAATAACCACTCCTTTCTGCGTTAATAATGCGTTATTCTGAAATCGAAACACAATGGCTGGTAAACGCGCCTTTCTAGGTATTGCAAAAGACACAAGGAAGACGATCGACAAATAAAGTATTTTTAATTTTAATTTGGCTCTGTTTGTGTCGTTGAACTTTTTCATGCTTTGATCAGGCAATAAACCATTCGAATTTCAATGTTTCTATTTAAAAATGTTAAAATCACTTCGAACGTTTTGTTCAAAGACAATTATTTCTTTCAATCTCGATAAAAAGTACCACAATATTCAACTCAATTTTAAAGCATCTAACGCTGAAAATAAAGCATGATGGAGTCTCTACAATACAGTGCAATCTGGAATTGTCTAACTAATTTTATCCTCTCAGAGTTTCAAAAATTCCGTTGGACGAAAATGTGCCAAAATAGAGAAAGATGTTTTTCGTCTTGTCAACTCAGAAATTTTTCTCTTTGTCCCACGCTCTCCCCAGTCTTTTTTTCTTTGTCCCACGCTCGTGACATGACAAAAAACATCTTTCTCTATTTCTATGCCGAGCTCAAAACTTACCATCTCTCTTATTCTCTTTACAAATCACGGTGTTAAAATGTAGGAAAAGCGTCCGCGAACTTCTCAACTTTTACTCAAGACAGTAATAAATTTATAAATGGCAATGATAATTAGCACAAAAAGTTTCAGAAACTCACCATAACTCCCTTTTCCCGAACAAATTTCCTGACTTTATCCATCAGTTCTTCAAATTGCGAAAACTCTAAACTTGAACAAGACGTTGCCTCCGATGACTGTTGGCTGCAATGAGGTTTTTTTTATTATTTAATCAATTAACATATATATTGAATATTATGATGGACTGTTACATGGACGATTCTGCTATGAGAAGGTCTGCTTTTGGCCATTTTGCGGCTAACGGTTAATTTCTTTTGGTTACGGTTAAAACAAAAATGTTTAAAATAAACTTTTTTTTCACGACTAACAGTTAAAATTTGTCAATTTTTACGCCTAAAGACTATATTTTTTTGCCGTGTTAAGGCTAACAGTTAAACCAGTTGAGACCCTCTTCTGATGACAATAGGACTGAAGGACTATTCTTTCGACAAAAAAACGTTTTGACTATTTCCCTAAAACAACGACACTTTTCTTTTATAACTCGGTAAATATATTTCGTTTTCGAATCGTTTATTCTTTAAAGTACAAATTTGCAACGACTGTTATACTAACGTGACTTGCAAGCCAAGCTCGCACTGTTTACACAGAGGAGGAATGGTTCAAAGCTCTTCATAGCACGAAATACAAAACGAAATGGCCTACAGCCCAAAAAGGGAATATATATGATGCATTCAGTCAAAATCGCTTTTGATCACAATTAAGGAAAAATTATACTTACTTTCCAATTTCTGTAGACGTATCCGAGATATCAGCGAGATTGATGAATCCTGTTAATTCAGTGAGAAACTTCATTATTCGCATACACTTGCACCGTCAAATATATGTATATATATATATAAAGCTAAAGCCTATACGTCGAAAACATAAAATATGAAAACATGTACTTCGTACCACCTTCGAAAGACATGGCGGTAACTCAGCAGTCTGAGGTAACTGGTATTAAGGTGTTCACAAATCTGTGTAAATGCAACATTAAATTTACTTATGAAAATGTTTGGCTGAGATTTACGTTTACCAAAAATGCAACTTAGCGGTGAGTGTGCGGAGCCGGATGCCTTTTTCTAGACCGGCTCACGGCAACCCGTCTGGTTGACATGTACAAGACCTTGTTGTCGGTCAGTGAAAAAAACGTTCTGCCCTGCACACCCACGGCTCCGTTGCACTTTCCGAGAACATAAATACTAAATTTTCAATCAATGTTTTAATTTCATTTGACTGATCGTTTAAAAGTCTTTCTTTCTTTGCCAGTCCAGCAAGGTCAATTTATCGATTAGACGTGCAGTCACGTCACTTAACTCATGATTAAGATTGATGTACAACGGGATATGTGTGCATATTTAAACATAAAACTTTCTAGTCATATAATTTGCGTCTCAGTAAGATTGTATAGGAAACAGCATTTGAATAAAGAGGTATGCCCCTATGACTAGCCATGTCTGACCATCGATTTTCATGCAGTGTTACACGTTTTTCAGTTTGAATAATAAGTATATTCACTCAAAATTTTTCAAGAAGAGAGTTTTCAAACGAACAATGTATTTTTTCCTTTTTTCATAGCTAGCCGCTCGAAATGGAGTCATTTAACAACAGCGGCGAGTGATGCTTTTTGTAACAAAATTTTGTTTGGTATAGAGGGCCAGCAAAGAGAGATTCCAACAGGACACAAAACAAATAAAAATGAACGAACAAAACAGACAAAAGAAAATGAAACATCTCGGGAATTCTAGATATTGTTCGTGATTTGACAGGAGGGAGGGACATGCCCCTGTGACCAGCCATGTCTGACCATCGATTTTCATGCAGTGTTACACGTTTTTCAGTTTGAATAATGAGTACATTCAATCAAAACTTTTCAAGAAGAGAGTTTTCAAACGAACAATGTATTTTTTCTTTTTTTCATAGCTAGCCGTTGGAAATGGAGTCATTTAACAACAGCGGCGAGTGATGCTTTTGTTTGGTATAGAGGGCCAGCAAAGAGAGATTCCAACAGGACACAAAACAAATAGAAATGAACGAACAAAACAGACAAAAGAAAATGATACATCTCGGGAATTCTAGATATTGTTCGTGATTTGACGATGTCGTAAATGAGTGCCGATCATGCGAGTCTCATTGAGGTTAACCGATATATAGCCTTAAGACGGCCTGAAAATTTAGCCGTTAGATTTAAAAACGACGAATTTTAACTGATAGTCGTAAAAGAAGTTAACCGTAAAAAAAATTCTAATGATTAGAACGAACAAATATATTTACTGTTAACCGCAAAATTGCCAAAATTTTAACCTTTAGCCGTTAAAGCCATCTAGCCATTGAGACCATTGGCTCCAGGCTGCCTACTGTTTGTAGAAGAGTGTGTTCACCTTGAAGCGATAACACACGTTAATTGCTCCACTTTATCGTCTCTTGGACGAGAGCATAAGTTTTATTCTCTAAAGAAAGTCTATCCAACAGCGAGGAGAAAATATCTTTAAAATTTTTTGTGTGATAAACGTGGCTTTTAACTGCTCAGTTCCACACACATCGATAGAAAATGGGAAGCATCTTATTTTGCTGTAATATTCAGTTGTCAGAAGGAATCTCTTTCGTTAAAGGAAAGCGTATCTAGTCATTGAGACCACTGGCTCCAGACTGCCTATCGGTTGTAGAAGAGCGTGTTGACCTTGACGCATTAACACACGTTAATTGCTCCACTTCATCGTCTCTTGGACGCGAGCATAATTTTTTTTTCTCTAAAGGAAGTCTATCCAACAGCAAAGAAAAAATATCTTAAATTTTTTTGTGTGATAAACGTCACTCTTAACCGCTCAGTTACACACACATCGATAAAGAATGGAAACCGTCTTGTTTTGCTGTAATATTCAGTTGTCAGAAGGAATCTCTTTCGGTAAAGGAAAGCGTATCTAGCCATTGAGAACATTGGCTCCAGAAGCGACAACACACGTTAATTTGCTCCACTTTATCGTCTCTCGGACGCGAGCGTAAGTTTTTTTCTCTAAAGGAAGCCTATCCAACAGCGAAGAGAAAATATTTTTAAATTTTTTTATGTGATAAACGTGGCTTTTAACTGCTCAGTTCCACACACATCGATAGAAAATGGGAAGCATCTTATTTTGCTGTAATATTCAGTTGTCAGAAGGAATCTCTTTCGTTAAAGGAAAGCGTATCTAGCCATTGAGACCACTGGCTCCAGACTGCCTATCGGTTGTAGAAGAGCGTGTTGACCTTGACGCATTAACACACGTTAATTGCTCCACTTCATCGTCTCTTGGACGCGAGCATAATTTTTTTTTCTCTAAAGGAAGTCTATCCAACAGCAAAGAAAAAATATCTTAAATTTTTTTGTGTGATAAACGTCACTCTTAACCGCTCAGTTACACACACATCGATAAAGAATGGAAACCGTCTTGTTTTGCTGTAATATTCAGTTGTCAGAAGGAATCTCTTTCGGTAAAGGAAAGCGTATCTAGCCATTGAGAACATTGGCTCCAGAAGCGACAACACACGTTAATTTGCTCCACTTTATCGTCTCTCGGACGCGAGCATAAGTTTTTTTCTCTAAAGGAAGCCTATCCAACAGCGAAGAGAAAATATTTTTAAATTTTTTTATGTGATAAACGTGGCTCTTAACTGCTCAGTTCCACACGCATCGATAAAGAATGGGAACTGTCATATTTTTCTGTAAAATTCATTTGTCAGAAGGAATTTCTTTCGGTAAAGGAAAGCCAATCTAGCCATTAAGACCATTGGCTCCAGACTGCCTATTGTTTGTAGAAGGGTGTGTTCACCTTGACGCGTTAACACACGTCAATTGTTCCACTTTATCGTCTCTTGGACGCGAGCATAAGTTTTTTTTCTCTAAAGGAAGACTACCTAACAGCGAAGAGAAAATATCTTTAAATTTTTTGTGTGATAAACATGGCTCGTAACTGCTCAGTTCCACACACATCGATAAAGAATGGGAACCGTCTCATTTTGTTGTGATATTCAGTTTTCAGAAGAAATCTCTTTCGGTAAAGGAAAGCGTATCTTGCAAGAATCTCAGTGCATTTTCGAGGAGAGCATTGCATCATCTCACAAATTGCGAGGAAAGCTTCCGCTTGGAGTTAACTCTCCAACTAAAAGTATTGTGTCGTAAGAACAGAAGCAATGAATAAGAGGTTAATTTTCAGAAACAGAAGCATGCCCATCTGACCTCTCTATTCTATCATGTGCTCCCGAAAGCATAATCAATGGTTCCTTTCAAGTCACATTGATTTGGTTGTTTTCAAAACCTTTCGGATCTTGCCCACCGAAAAAAGGCAACGCATGAAGCGTAAGGTCCACAAACAATTTTTTATCTTATAAAGGGCGGTGAACCTTTTGCTTGGAGTCGATCTATTGATAACACCCGTCGGACCGTGATCTTTTCACAAAGTAGAATTAAATATCTAAACTCACGCCTATAAAAATATTTGGACTCTGCTTGCTCCACAACGGCTGTACGCATTTCAATATGCTTACTAGGTGACAGTGAGCACAGTGTTTTGAGATGTCATTTCCAAGTCTTAAGGCCAGAAACGTGTAGAACATATGCGGAACATGTACTGACATTTTTAAACGTGTTTCACCAGAAAGCAGATCAAACGGGAAAAAGTCGCTTCAATTTTCTCTGTCAGTTACACGGAACAAAGAGTGATAAATTTAATTTTTTTAAGACATGTACAAATACACGCTTTTCGACCAAATCATTGATATATTCTAACCATCGAAAGCTTACCAGGGCATAGCAAATTGCCTTAGGTCCACAGGCAGCGAAAGATCGCAAAGAAACAAAACCTAAACTTGCCTCGGTAAAAACTTTTTTCGTGTTCAGTGCGGGGATTCTGCTCACAGGTGACATTGAATTGTAATCTTTGCGTAGCCTTTTCCCAGAAAGAGATGAAGGATCGAAAAAGTGAAATTCTTGACGACAGATCAAAAAGGACACTCGATTGAGCATGTTGAATGCTATACCACAGCTGAAAGTTGAGAGTTCAATATTCGTTTCTTGGAGTTTTCAGTTTTCAAAATTTGCGAAAGGAAAAAATAACTGCTTCTGTACCCCATAAACATTTCTATGAATTTCTTGTTGCTTTTCATATATCTAAATAAACTAGAGCTGAAGAAATCACGAACGTTGTTTTTGCGAAGGTTCAAACCTAATGGTTGCTAAACTAAGCGTAATCAGAACTTGGAAATCACAAACTTGGAAACGATCGATTCTGTAACATATCTTCCTTCGACGGAAGCAACACCCATATACGGTATACTTAAGTAACTGACTTTCTCCATTTCCTCAAAGTTTTCAGCCATTATAGGAACAAACATGGGCTTTGTTGGAGTAAGTTGGACATTTTGAATATAAATATACAGTCCTCCTAAGCTTACGATATCTCAATTCTGAAACAAATTAGACTTGGTATTCAATGACCTATCATTGTTCGTGGTAAGCGATGACTAATCCGTTAAAAAAAAAGTTTTTTTAAGAAAATGTCACTTTAAAATTATAGGTCGTCTTAAAAGGAGGTTAAAAAAAACGATTTTTTAAAGGTAATGAAGTATAAAAATATTGAAATGTGACTAACCTAGAACGGGCTACCTCTCTCGATCTTTTCCCTGTCGTGTTCAAGACAACCACTGAACGAAATGTAACAGAATGTGGAAGTCACTGAATATATATGCAAGAGGGCGGACACGAACAAAATAAATTTGGTCAGGTGATTATTTATGCTTCAGCGTTTCGGTGACCTCCGGCTCATTATTGCATGTTGTAACGTAGGAAAAATTTAAAAATAGCTTGTTTTTCTGCAATTGAAGAGTCTTATATAACATAGTGATGTGAATGATACACGTGATAAGAGAAATGGTTTTGATTTCGTAGACTAAACTGATATTTCTTCGAAAATAAAAAAGTGAAAATAACAATCCTCCTCTATCAGTGCTACTCAACAAGACAAAACTCAGTTCTTTCTGAAAATCTTTTTTTAGCGTGATATGAACAGCTTTGTAAAATGAGTACTCAAGATAGACTGTGTTCGTGATTACAGATAAGAAAGACAACATTCCATTGAAAATTAAATCATGAGACTGAATAATAGAGGAGAAAAACAGAACAATGATATAACAGAACAATGATATAACGTCACATCCCCCAATATCACACCAAACTTGTACAAAATTCTCTGAAAGCAATCTTGGAGAGACTTCATTTATCCTTATCTGTTAAACTGATTTGAAGAAGATAAAAAGAAAAAAACAGCCTAAATTATGCTAAACTTTTGAACCCTCATTACTTTTTGAAGCTTAAATTCACTTATTTACATAATTACTGCACTTCTACACGGCAGCACTCCTCGAAGAAGAATCAGTTGTATATCTTCTTATGTTTTGCGCTAAGATTTCGCGTGTTTAAAAATGAAACCTTAACCCTAACCCTGGATAATGATTTGCGGACTCACCATAAATTCAAACAACCTAGATGACCAAAAATATGCGATCATAGCTGGATGAAATAAGCTCTCCGTGAGCTGATTATGAAATAATGAAAACAAAATATCATTAAAACATTTTCCGTGATTTATGAGCGTCAACTGCACCGATTTCAATGAGTTTTTGTCTCCGTCAAGTTTGATAAGGTAATAACGCTCGCCTTCCTTGAGAGACTTTGAAAAATGTGCTCACAAGGTGTGAAATCTTTTCAGGAAAGTTAGTTCGTGTTGTAATGTGGACGAATAGAGAATCTTTTAATAGTTTAGCTGTACAGCGGCTTTATGGTTCTGTAGTTGATGCAAGAACGACGAATTTCTATTATGTTCGTTAATATACACTGTACCATCAACCTATAGGTGCTTTCCTAAACCAGCCTTCACGCAACCCGCTCAGTTGAAAAGACGGACGCCGGAAAACATATTATTCATATATCTAAGTGCATGTAGAAAGCAAGCTCGGAGGTACGCTGACTTCACCAAGAAAACTGCTGAACTAATTTGTATTATGGAAAGATATTGTAAAAAATATTGTAAATTCGTGCGTTCGTCAGTTCCTTTCAACATCAGCAAAGATAAACGTGACTCAGTGAACGTCGAATAAGCATTTCCTGTTTTAGCGATACGGCCAATGAACCTTGAACTAGGAACTACCACTTTCTGTTTATGCCCAAGTTCATATCCTTCATCAAAATGATTTTGAAATATTAAAATGTCAACGTCTGCATGGTGATAATCAGATCTGATATAGTTGGAACTGATACCCTACAAATCATTTACAGTTCCTTTGTGCTGACGGTTAAAACAAATTTAAATTAAACCATTTTCGACAATAACTTAGAATTATCATATGTAGCGTTTATGAGCTATATAGAAATTTCGAGCAATAATAATGATTTAGTTCACAAACCATCCCACAGCTGTCACATTTCGACTAGCCCGGTTTCTCAAATATTGCTTTGATTTTAAATTGTTTTGAACGTCAGGTCATTCTATTTATGGAAAGTAAAAATTGCTAGTTCCTGTTCAGTTAGAGTTATCGACACAAATTGAGTTGTTCCTAAAGGAACCAGTTTTGGTAATTATAAGACATTTTATTTAGTCTCAACCACTCAATCCTAAGTGTCTGAATGGCGCAAGGTACAAACACTTATCACCTCTCACGTTCGAACAACGTTGAAGAATATGGCAAACCCACAACAATGACCTCGTACATCAAGTCTTCCTGTATTTTGGAATAAAATTTGAATAAGATGTCTAGGAAAACAATTAATTTTGACCTCTACCAAAAACTTTTGAAAGCGACACAAATGGTGTTATTGTAAAAAGGAGCAAAAACACTTCAGACCCTTTATCTTTCAGTGCTACTGATTTCTTACAAAAGCAAACTTCTTTTCTTTTTTAGAAGGGCAAAATTACATTTTTTACACGCTGTGAAATGTTGTGGGAACCTTCACCTTATTTCGTTTTCTATTTTGACATTAAATTCGCAGAGCTTGAATACCTTTACACCTTGAAGGCGTAGTTTTGCTTTGTTCAAAACTTTCCGAGGACAAAAGATTTCATGACGCAAAAAAAAATTCCACTTCTGAGCTAACCTCGTAGTCACGATTTCATTTCCCTAACAAGCCGTAGTCACGATTTCATTTCCCTCAGGGAAATGCGCATTTGTGATGCGCATTGAAATAAAAACGAAACTGCACTCATTGGAACTGACTCAATTTAGTCGACGCGGAAGAAAATTTAACTTCTATTTCCATCCAAAAAAAGATATAAGTACAGCAACGAAGTGAAAAGGTATGAAGCTGCGAGTGAAAAGAATTGTCTACTTGTTGACGGTGTGAAAACTCTCTATGCCTTTAAGTTCTCCCTCATAGCTTCTGACGCAGTACTGCTATAATACCGAGGATGATTGAGCTCGACAAATTTTTCAAATTTCATAGTTTCCGTGATGTTCAAATTTTAGAGTACGGACAACTCTATCAACAGGCTTTGCTCCAGGAGAGCGAGGAATTCGGCAAAACACGCATCTAACCTTTTTTATAAAAGTAAATTAATCAGCAAAAGGAATTGAACAAGTTTAACTTAAATGTTAAATTTCTTTAATTGTTTAGTTTACTTTGAAATAGTCATACTAAATGGAAATAATTCAGAGTCACACGCAATGCCATTGAAGATAAATCTTAGGAACAAGAACTCTTCGATGTCCTTGAAAATATCCAAGTGGCGGTACTTATCATGACATCAAGGGAATTTTATGTATTAAAATAACAAAATACCTTTTCTTCCATAACTCCGTAATCTACGCTTTCTAGACTGTCGCAATATAGCTCCATTTATCGTAGCCATAAAATATATTTTTAAGTCTTCAAAATCAAGCCTCAAAAAGGAAAGCAAAAAGAGAGAACTCGTGCTCAGACCTTATTCAACATCAGGGGAAAAAACCGATTTTTTTGGCAGTTCAGATATGTATTTTTCCTAATTTCAAGACAACTCTACCCAGTTGACAAACCTCGCTAAATGCAGGAGTAAAAAACATTTATTCCATCACTTCCTTGCCTGCATTCAGCAATTTCCATGCAAAAGTATGAAAATGTTTTTGGAAAAATATTTTTTCTTTAGGAAGGTCCTTCACCCTTTTTAAGTTTAAATGGATATTTTTGCGAGAAACACGCAGATTTAAAAATGGATTATTGTGATTCCCGATTCTTAAAGAGAACTATTATATTAAAAATATAGCTCACCTTCTCACTCCTTCTCACTTCAGCCGATTGGACTGTTGCTAGAATGACTGACCCGTGATTTGGGTTAGAGCTGAGAGATCTTCTGTGATATATGGGCCCGATGCAGAATATGAATTAGTCACCAGATACAAAAATGTAACCCAGAGCTATAATTAGATACTGCGATGCACAAAAAAGGCTTTCAGTGGGCTTTCAGTGGTTGAGACGTTCAAAACAAATCACGAGTTATGGGCAAATATCACGCAAATATCATGAACCAGCTGACGCAAGCAGAGCGCTTAGTTTACAGCTGAATTACCTAGGGACACTGGACACCACTAAGTATCCTAGCGACCGATTGCAGATTCATCAAAACAAACATAGTTTGAAGCTACACTGGTTTGCAGATTTAATGAATGTAACCGAAGAAGTTACAACTCATAGACCCCTCATTGGGTCTATGAATTGTAACTTCTTCGGTTACATTCATTAAATCTGCAAACCAGTGTAGCTTCAAACTATGTCTGATTGTCCACCTGGTTGCCGTGTGAACTTTAATATATTTCATCAAAACAAGTTGACCGGCTTTATCGATCGCAAACCTGATTTGATCGCATGAGCTAAACACACAGTTGAATAAAAACGTGATGGCACTTCCACAAACTGTGGGCTTCAAAGCTGAAGCAGTCGATGAAGAAAGAGTTTGGTGTGCCTGCACTGTTGAAGAAGTAGACGATGATTATGTGATCGCTTCCTTTGACGGCTGGAATGCGGAGTAGAATCGCCGCGTCTGTGATCCACGAGAGATCAGGGATCGAACATTGCTTAATCGGAAAAGAAAGCGAAGAAACCTTTCCCTTCAAGAAGACCGACTTTTACTTTTAAATATAACCCAAACTTATGTCAACAAAAAGTTCAAATTACGGTTCGCTTCAATTTTAGGCGTAAATTTGCATAATCTTTCATGGACGAAATCTTTATGACTTTCAAAGATCAAAACTATTTTCTAAAGTATTTCTGCTTTATCTTTATCCACTTAGCAAACAAAGCTTTCCAGATTACAGTCAAAACACCAGACGTAGTTCATTTCGAATTTCTCGATCTATCCTAGTTTCTCAGACTGCATCCAAACAGGTTTTACTACACACTTCCATCTAAGACTCCCAGTGGAACTTGACGTAAAATACGTCACGCGTTACTAGGTAACAGTGCTCATACATATGCACAAACCCCACTCAAGTGGGTTCGCAGAATTACATATTTTGTTCGTGTTGAAGTCGTCATGAGTATCAGCAGGGAGGCACTGAATAAAGCATCTTGTCTACACATGTTAGTTTACGCTTCTCTGCTTCTGTTCATATTTATCAAGTAGTTTATCCGTTCTTGTGTGGAACGTGTCAAAGAAGTGTAACGGTCAAAGAAGAGAAAATAGAAAGTTGCAAATGTATTTTTCTTTCAATTTCGCCTTTGTGCTTCTCCAGTTTTAGGGCAGATCGAATTGGTAGTATAGCATCCATTGTTTGATGAAAAATTAAATAACAATTCATGGTTACTTCCAACAGATGCTTGAAAGTGACTTTGCTAAGTTCTACAACATTCGTTGATGGTACAAAGATTCTTTAAAAAAAATTGCATGAGTGGGGCTGCGTAAACGTAATTTTTGCCTGGGAGGGCGGGAGATCAGACGAATAAATGTTCAAAAGTTCAAATGCCCGGGGGTTGCATAAGGCGAGCATTCTAGGCGGCTGTACACGTGCAAACGCAGACTTTGAGATCAAATAATTACTATTTCTTGATCTAGAAACTTAAGCAGGCGATAGTATAGCAAAATAAAATGGCTTCGAATTCACTGGAGACCAGATATACTGATGTGGAGAAGAACCGAAAGAACAGCTACAAGACTCGCCTCTATAGCTTCCTGAGAAATTTCCATACTATTTGGCGAAGAAGCGACACAGATTTACCGAAACTGTCATCACTGAGGAAGCCATGTGACACGGCGAAGATACAAGGAAATCGTCGATCATGACCATGTGATGAAACAAACACTGAACGCGCTTGCCACTTCAAACTACAAGGAAATTTCACTCGGCATTCATCTTTACAGCGTACATATCTCAAGGAGCTAGAATTTTCGCAACTGTTGAAAATTTTTCTGAACTTTGCATGTTTCGCGATAGTTTTTCTAGTTTTAGTTTTGTTGACAAGGTAGTTGATTATATCAATTTCCATAGTGTTTGTCACTTCGCTTGATTGTTCATACTTGGAAACGATCGATTTTGTAACACATCTTCCATCGACGGAAGCAACACCCATATACGGTATACTTAAGTAACTGACTTTCTCCATTTCCTCAAAGTTTTCAGCCATTATAGGAACAAACATGGGCTTTGTTGGAGTAAGTTGGACATTTTGAATATAAATATACAGTCCTCCTAAGCTTACGATATCTCAATTCTGAAACAAATTAGACTTGGTATTCAATGACCTATCATTGTTCGTGGTAAGCGATGACTAATACGTTAAAAAAAAAGTTTTTTTAAGAAAATGTCACTTTAAAATTATAGGTCGTCTTAAAAGGAGGTTAAAAAAAACGATTTTTTAAAGGTAATGAAGTATAAAATAATTAAATGTGACTAACCTAGAACGGGCTACCTCTCTCGATCTTTTCCCTGTCGTGTTCAAGACAACCACTGAACGAAATGCAACAGAATGTGGAAGTCACTGAATATATATGCAAGAGGGCGGACACGAACAAAAGAAATTTGGTTAGGTGAGTATTTATGCTTCAGCGTTTCGGACAAAATTTAAAAATAGCTAGTTTTTCTGCAAATGAAGAGTCTTATATAATATAGTAATGTGAATGATACACGTTATAAGAGAAATGGTTTTGATTTCGAAGATGAAATGTTTCTTCGAATTGCACTTCCAAGGAGTTCTGGCAATTTCTTAACAATTCCGAAAAATATCTGTATCTGTAAAAATCAACATGAAGTATTTAATGTACTAAGTTGGCCGTTATGTGACACTTTTCAGTTTACTCAGTAAACTTGAGAGGTTGTCAAACCAATGGCTGTCGCCTGAGGTATGTTAGCAATGTCTAGAAGCCAATTGATCCGTTGAAAGTGAAAATAACAATCCTCCTCTATCAGTGCTACTCAACAAGACAAAACTCAGTTCTTTCTGAAAATCTTTTTTTAGCGTGATGAGAACAGCTTTGTAAAATGAGTACTCAAGATAGACTGTGTTCGTGATTACAGATAAGAAAGACAACATTCCATTGAAAATTAAATCATGAGACTGAATAATAGAGAAGAACAACAGAACAATGATATAACAGAACAATGATATAACGTCACATCCCCTAATATCACACCAAACTTGTACAAAATTCTCTGAAAGCAATCTTGGAGAGACTTCATTTATCCTTATCTGTTAAACTGATTTGAAGAAGAAGAAAAAAGAAGAAACAGCTTAAATTATGCTAAACTTTTGAACCCTCATTACCTTTTGAAGCTTAAATTCACTTATTTACATAATTACTGCACTTCTACAGGGCGGCACTCCTCGAAGAAGAATCAATTGTATATCTTATTATGTTTTGCGCTAAGATTTCGCGTGGTTAAAAATGAAACCTTAACCCTAACCCTGGATAATGATTTGCGGGCTCATGATAAATTCAAACAACCTAGATGACCAAAAATATGCGATCATAGCTGGATGAAATAAGCTTTACGTGAGCTGATTATGAAATAATGAAAACAAAATATCATTAAACAAAACATTTTCCGTGATTTATGAGCATCAACTGCACCGATTTCAATGAGTTTTTGTCTCCGTCAAGTTTGATGGGGTAATAACACCTGCCTTCCTTGAGAGACTTTGAAAAATGTGCTCACAAGGTGTAAAATCTTTTCAGGGAAGTTAGTTCGTGTTGTAATGCGGAGGAATAGAGAATCTTTTAATAGTTTAGCTGTACAGCGGCTTTATGGTTCTGTAGTTGATGCAAGAACGACGAATTTCTATCATGTTCGTTGATATACACTGTACCATCAACCTATAGGTGCTTTCCTAAACCAGCCTTCACGCAACCCGCTCAGTTGAAAAGACGGACGCCGGAAAACATATTATTCATATTTCTAAGTGCATGTAGAAAGCAAGCTCGGAGGTACGCTGACTTCACCAAGAAAACTGCCGAACTAATTTGTATTATGGAAAGTGAACGTGAACGTCGAAGAAGCATTTTCCGTTTTAGCGATACGGCCAATGAACCTTGAACTAGGAACTACCACTTTCTGTTTATGCCCAAGTTCATATCCTTCATCAAAATGATTTTGAAATATTAAAATGTCAACGTCTGCATGGTGATAATCAGATCTGATATAGTTGGAACTGATACCCAATGAATCATTTACAGTTCCTTTGTGCTGACGGTTAAAAACAAATTTAAATTAAACCATTTTCGACAATAACTTAGAATTATCATATGTAGCGTTTATGAGCTATATAGAAATTTCGAACAATAATAATGATTTAGTTTACAAATCATCCCACAGCTGTCAAATTTCGACTAGCCCGGTTTCTCAAATACTGCTTTGATTTTAAATTGTTTTGAACGTCAGGTCATTCTATTTATGGAAGGTAAAAATTGCTAGTTCCCGTTCAGTTAGAGTTATCGACACAAATTGAGTTGTTCCTAAAGGAACCAGTTTTGGTAATTATAAGGAACCCAGTTCTGAATGGCGCAAGGTACAAACACTTATCAACGTTCGAACACGTTTTTTCGTACATCAAGTCTTCCTGTATTTTGGAATAAAATTTGAATAAGATGTCTAGGAAAACAATTAATTTTGACCTCTACTTTTGAAAGCGACACAAATGGTGTTATTGTAAAAAGGAGCAAAAACACTTCAGACCCTTTATCTTTAGTGGATTTCTTGCAAACTTCTTTTCTTTTTTAAGGAATAAACACTTATTTCGTTTTTATTTTGACATTAAACCTCTCACGTAGTTTTGCTTTGTTCAAAACTTTCGAACAAAAGATTTCATGACGCAAAAAAAAATTCCACTTCTGAGCTAACCTGTAAGAATTTATGTAGTCACAAATGCGCTGATGCGCAACAATGCACTCATTGGAACTGTACATCGGAAGAAAATTTCTTCCTGTATAAGTTGAAAAGGCATGTTGTAACGTAGGAAAAATTTAAAAATAGCTTGTTTTTCTGCAATTGAAGAGTCTTATATAACATAGTGATGTGAATGATACACGTGAT